TCCCAAATAGTTGGGACTACAGGCATGTACCAGCATGCCCGGCTAATTTTTTCTATGTATTTTTAGTTGGCCAATTAATTTCCTTCTATTTTTAGTAGAGACGGGGTCTCACTCTTGCTCAGGCTGGTTTCGAACTCCTGACCTTGAACAATTCACCTGCCTCAGCCTCCCAGAGTGCTAGGATTACAGGCGTGAGCCACCATGCCTAGCCAAAAGCAAGGAATTCTTAATGGCTTTTGCAGCTCCACCTTGGAAAGCAACACCAGAGGTCACTGTCATGCCTTCTATAAAATCTAAAGCTCCAGAAAGTTCCAGCTATTCCAGGTTAAAAAAAAAAACCAAGACAAATTCTCAGGAACTAGAGGAATAAGGAGGAAAGGAAAAGGAGGAAAAAAAAATCCAAGTATTCATATTTAAAAAGTGACCTGGAGAATAAAATCACAAGAAGATACTACTGTTTAACCCAGACACTTTGTCAGGGTAAAGGCATCATCCTATCGCTAGTAGGAGTGTCAACAATAGAGGGTAACATGGTGCTCCAGGTTACCAAAGATGCACACACCATTTGACTAAGAAAACCCACTGCTAAGAGTTTATCTTACAGGTACTTGTGTTTGCAGAATGATGTGGGTAAGGCTATTCACCATGACACTGTCTCAAACAGCAAAAGAAGGGAAATAATATTAACACCATCAAGAGAGGACTGGGGCCAGGCGCGGTGGCTCACGCCTGTAATCCTAGCACTCTGGGAGGCCGAGGCAGGAGGATTGCTCTAGGTCAGGAGTTTGAAACCAGCCTGAGCAAGAGCGAGACCCCGTCTCTTCTATAAAATTAGAAAGATACTAACTGGCCAACTAATATATATATAGAAAAAATTAGCCGGGCATGGTGGCACATGCCTGTAGTCCTAGCTACTCGGGAGGCTGAGGCAGAAGGATCACTTGAGCCCAGGAATTTGAGGTTGCTGTGAGCTAAGGCTGCCACAGCACTCACTCTAGCCTGGGCAACAAAGCAAGACTCTGTCTCAAAAAAAAAAAAAAAGAGAGGACTTTCATACGCTTAAACTTTCATACACACATACAATGGAATATTAAATAGCCAGTAACAATAACGAGGTAGCTATACATATGGAATGTTTTCTATGCTAGATTGCTAGATGAAAAAAGAAAGGGCAGAAGAAAGAGCATGCATAGTATGCTACCATTTTTGTAAACAGACACAAGTATGTGTGAGTATTCCTCATACATGTACAAAGTTCCTCTGGAAGGATAAAATCTCTGGAGTTGCCTCTGGGAAGAGGAACTAGTAGCTAACAGATAGGAGTACTTACTTTATCCTGAATGCAGTTCAGTACCATTTGAATGTATGCTAGCTGCATGTTGCTATAGTCTGAATGGTTATATCCTCCCAAGATTCATATGTTGAAATACTAACCTCCAAGGTGATAGCACCAAGAGGCAAGGCTTTGGAAGGTGATTAAATCACAAGGCAGAGTGCTCATAGATGGGATTAGAGGCCTTATAAAAGAGGCCTGAGGGAGCCTCTCACATGTTCCCCACATGTGAGACACAGAGAGAAGGCACCATCTGTGAACCAGAAAGCAGGCCTTCACTAGACACTGAATCTGGTAGTACCTTGATCTTGGACTTCCTAGCCTCCAGAACTATAAGAAATAAATGTTTGTTGTTTATAAGCCACCCAGTTTGTTTTTGTTAAAGCAGCCAGAACAGACTAAGACACATGTATTCAAATGAATTAAATATTTTAAAGTCTCCTCACCCCTGTGCCTAGGATATAGAAATAAGTTATAGGGTGGGTGTGTGGCGCTAAGAAGGGCTGTATTGGCCAGGGGTCTCCAAACTTTATTTTTGGTACACGAACAGTAAAAACTTGAAGCAATACCTTCAATATGTGTATGTTGTTAAACTATGATAACTGCCACCTTTATAGGTCAAATACAATTGAACCAGTAATGTCTTGTGATTCAACCTAATATTTATAAATTATCTACATGTACTCATGAACTATTATATAACAATGTATATTATAAATAAGGCTGACCCTGAAAGTGAATATAAATCAATGACCTAATCTTTTCTTCCTACCAACCCCTGCCATCCTACATGTTCTCTCCCTTGGAGACCTCTGTCCTAAGTGAGGGTCAGCATCAACTCCCACATCTCACTTCAGTGGTAACAACTTTCAGTCTATAGAAGCAGGGTCCCACTCTGTCACCCTGGCTGGAGTGCAAAACTCCTGGGCTTAAGCAATCCTCCTGCTTCAGCCTCTAGAGTAGCTGAGACTACAGGCATGTACTACCATGCCTGGCTAATTTTTCTATTTTTTGTAGAGACGAGATCTCATTACATTGCTCAGGCTGGTCTCAAACTTCTGGGCTCAAGAGATCCTCCTGCCTTGTCCTCCCAAAGTGCTAGGATTATAGGCATGAGCCACCGTGCCCAGCAGAGGGAGTTTTTCAAAATGAAAACTTTGTTTCAAATCATGCAGCTTACCACAATTCAGACATGGTAACACTAATTTAGACTGACACAGGAATGAAAATTCCAATCCTTTTTCTCATTATCACTGCATCTTAGACGCACATCACCTTCCTAAGCACTATGACACTCACCTGAAAGAAGTAAATGTGTACAAAGAAACCCAATCCTGCTCTCTACACACTTCACACAAACCAGTGTAGTGTCCCTGTAGTCAGGGTTTCAGATGTGAATTTTTTTTCTTTTTAGAGATTAGGTCTCACTATGTTGCCCAGGCCGTAGTACAATGGTTATTCAAAGGCACAATTCATAATGCACTGCAGCCTCGAGCTCCTGGCCTCAAGCAATCCTCCTGCAGCAGCTGGGACTACAGCGCATGCCACCAAGCCCAGGTCAATGAGAATTTTTAAGCATAATAATGCCTCAGTAATATGGAGCAAGGTTGAGGGGTAGAGAAGACAGAATAAATGCAAAAACTAAGTCACAGTGTTTCAAAACAACATACTTAACTGCTTTCAAATGTAGGCTATTTAATACTTGTTCTAATTCTCTCATTTACTACATAGGTCAGTATGTCAAGAGTACTCTTTATAGATAACTTACAGAGTACTCACATCACCCCACCACCCACAGGCTCAAGCTTAGAATTGGAAATAAGTCTGATGCCTGCTTCCTACTCTTTCAAAGTGAGGGATTTTCTTCTAAGCAAACAGTATAAACTTGATTGTGGGGAGAATGTCTACCCTACATAATTACTAATCAGTTCCTTCTGGCGCCCAGAGGTCCCTAAGCCATGTGGCCTCTCCAGATCAGTACAGCAGCTTTGAATTCCACACGCTCTCACCCCACATTGGCCTTGTCCGAATTCAGAAGCCTCCTGTCAGTCCCTCCCCTAGGTCCCAAATGGCTTCTGAACGTCATGGGTTGTTCCTGCTCTCCATCTTCAACTTGTAGGGTCTGACAGTGATAAGAATATTTTGATTTTAAACAGAGTGAACTATTTCCTCAGTCCCATGGAGAAATATACTCCCCATGAAGCTGAGTACTGGCACCACCTCCCAGTATAAGACAAAAAAAAAGTAACTAAAAAGGGCCTGGACTTTTTTTTTAACGTCTCATAACTACCAAAAAGAGCAAAAGACAACCTATTACCACCTTAGAGAAGGATAAATCCAGAAAAACAAATTTATCCAGATAGTAGAAATAAACTAATAGGGCTACCCTCAGTCCTCTCATTCCCTCTTTGGTCCCTCTGGATTACAAGAAAGGGGAGAAAGAAGGACACATCGTGGGAGCCAACTTTTTGCAATTTGGCTCTAGTTCTTTAAACCAATTCATTCTGTCCCTATAGCATGTTGTAAAGTACTGTTCCAAACACAACTAAACTTGTGAAGGCATTTTCAGAGGAAGCACATTCTCAGTGGTTCTGGCAGGCATTCCAGTTCAGGGACACCTGATGAGGCTGCTAAGATGGGAAGGGGTAGGCCACCAAGCAGACAATCGCTGCCAAGTGTCACAGGCAGCAACTGTGAGGGCAACTGCCACCTAAATTGCTATGTCAATCCATCTTAGCACATTTGCTCTTTTGACCAAAGTCATTAATTACCTCAACCACTTTTAAAATCAAAACTTTAACTAAAACTAAAATTAAACATGACAAGCACAATGGCAGGGAACCCTTGGTGCCTTTTTCTAAACACCCCAAAGTAGAGAAGCTAAGCTAAGCTCAGGCTTGAAAATCTCCAGGATGCCTAGCCAACTTACAGGAAAACTGGAAGGTCCCGTACTCAATGATTAAACTTTATAGAGAAAATAAGTATAAAGCAAGTAGCCTGTCTTTAACCATAACTACATATATACACAGGTATATTCACACACATAAATATGCTTTTAAATAACTTTTTTTGGGGGGGGTCTTGCTTTGTCACCCAGGATGGAGTGCAGTGGTACAATCATAGCTCACTGAAACCTCAAACACCTGGGCTCAACCAATCCTCCTGCCTCAGCTTCCTGAGTAACTAGGACTACAGGTGTGCACCACCAAGCTCAGCTAATTTTTTAATTTTTTTGTAGGGGCAAGGTCTCACTATGTTGCCCTGGCTGGTCACCAACTCCTGGCCTCAAGTGACCCTCCCACCTCAACCTCCCAAATTGCTGGGATTATAGGTGTGAGCCACTGTGCCTGGCCTCAATACTGTGTCTTTTTAAGAGTGCTATTCTAGAAAAAAAAAAGTTTAAAAAAAAGAACAATACTATTCCCTCTCCAGCAAATGTTTTGAACTATAAGAGTCAAACTATAACATCTGCTGTGTGCTTTCCTCAGAGTTAAGGAAACTGCAAGCAACCCACTCCTCCCTCCCAGAAAAGGAGACAAAGGATACAGAATGCTTCTGGGATTTGAGTTTTTATATGGAACAATCTGAGAAACTACTTCCTTAAAAACTCTGACATTGAAGTTCTGCTACCAAAGACATAGCAAAAGACATCTAAATAGTCACAGAGTCAAAAAAAAAAAAAGTTTATTTGAGAACAAGAGTGAAAGCTTTTACACATCTGACAAGGGAGACTTGTTATGACAGCAGATGCTATCCATATTGAGCTCTACCAATATTATCACAAATGGAACAAACTGTTTCTTACAAAGATACGGTCATGAGTAAAGGAGTATGATAACTAGAGTCAAAGGAAAGGTCAGGCCCCAGATCTTATTCATTAGACTGATTCATAACATACAATTTAAGTCAAACCATTCAAGTCTCCTAATGCAGTAGTTCTCAACTTGGCTTCTTATCAGAATATCTGGAACTGTTTGAAAGGGAATCCCAATAACTAGGCTATGCCCCAGATCTCTGGGGATGGGACCCAGGCATCAGTACATTTTAAAGCTTCCTAGATGATTCCAATGCGTAGCCGATCACCAGGCACTAAAGACAGGTAACTATTATCAGCAAGTCCCTAAACCCGTCAACTCCGGCAAGGAAGGGGGTTCTCTTGGGCGACGCTGGCTTTCACTGATACAATCTTTCACTCCACTTAAGAACTCCACACATTATCAGCTTTTGGTGTCATTTTGAGTCTTTCCATATGCCATGTTGATTTTTAGAAAAATTATTTAATCAGGTGAATACCAGCAAAGAGAGAAAATATAGAAAAAGAAAGAAATTTCCATAAGGCATGATATGAATAAATAAGTGAAAAAACAATCACAGGCTTAAAAGTAAAGCATGAGAAGTCAAAGCCTGTGAAATTTTATTTATACAAAAGAATAAAAATATTTAGAAAGGATTGATTTAAACTTATGTTTTTCCATTTTTCTTGTTCCTTGAACAGGAATTTGCTTCCAACTCAGAAAGATTAAAGATAGGTAATTTCTAAATAAACACTCTTTACCTCCCCTTGCAAAAAACCAAAGAGCCAAGTTTCCCATTTTACTTATAATAAACCAGATTATTTTCAGTTAAGAATATTGGCAACTGCATGAAAAAGATTATCAGATATGCCAGCAGGAAGGTACGAGCTGTACAAAGGCATTACAAAAAAGACCCAAAAGAAAATACGATGATAAAAACAACAATAGAAAAATAATAAAGCACAAAACCAAATAAGAAAATGCCAGATATTTACAGCCTCCATCTGAAATGTGACTTGTGTTCTACTTTCAGCATAAAATAAAACCAGAGAACATTTCTTGATGGGTATCACAGATGAAGCTGGTGCCAGCCAGTTTGGGGGGAGACATTCATTCTAAGAAGGGAGAAATGCACAGTTAGCAATTTGCTGGGATTATAACCATGTCTTGGTCTTCCTGCAGTTCTGTTACTAAAAATGACACAAAGTAAATGATCCAATGTCTTAGAGAAATGACTTGTTTGTCACCACATTTAGAACAAACTACTCAAGAGTCACAGGCACTGGGTCTGGGAGAGCGGAGGTGGATGGCCACACACTCAGGTGAGGGATGTTTATCTTTGTGAGGTCGGAGAAGGGAAGCAGGGCTCTACAGCCTGGAAGCTTCTGCACTAACGCATCTTCTAATAGTCCTAAAGAGAGAAAAACAAAGTCCCAACTTACTCTCAGCAGAACATTAGTTTGACCCTAAGGGAAAAAAATCTCATAAAAAACAAACAAACAAACAAAAAAACCCTACTACGGGACTGTTCTATAGCTAAAGATTCTATTTCAAATGTAATGTACAATATTTTGCATCTGAAAATGGCATGTCTTCTGAGTCCATAAAGGGATTGAAACATCAACTCTGTTCTTTTTTTTTTTTTAATCTTTTTTTGTGATAAAAAAAAGTGCCATGATGTCAGCTTAGCTTACAGAAACCTCAAACTCATGGGCTCAAGTGATCCTCCTGCCTCAGCCTCCAGAGTAGCTGGAACTAGACGTGTGCCATCACCGCCCGCTACTTTTTCTTATTCTTAGTACAGATGGGGTCTTGCTCTTATTCAGACTGATCTCAAACTCCTGTGCTCAAGCAATCCTCCTGCCTTGGCCTCCCAGAGTGCTAGGATTACAGGCATGAGCTACAGTGCCTGGCCCATCAATTCTGTTCTTATTAGACCACCTGAACTTATCAGTCAAGAAAAAGAGCTAGTATTAACAACTTCTTATTAGGCCAGGCGCAGTGGCTCACGCCTGTAATCCTAGCACTCTGGGAGGCCCAGACAGGAGGATCTCTCAAGGTCAGGAGTTCAAAACCAGCCTGAGCAAGAGCAAGACACAGTCTTTACTAAAACTAGAAAGAAATTAATTGGCCAACTAAAAATATATAGAGAAAATGAGCCGGGCATGGTGGTACATGCCTGTAGTCCCAGCTACTCAGGAGGCTGAGGCAGGAAGATTGCTTGAGCCCAGGAGTTTGAGGTTGCTGTGAGCTAGGCTGATACCACGGCACTCTAGCCCAGGCAACAGAGTAAGACTCTGTCTCAAAAACAAAAACAAAAAACTTATTATTTAATAAAAAGGATTTTTTCTTCAGTAAAAATGTGACCTCCTTCTCTCTCCAAAATATAAAAAATGTAAATAACATCTAAAAGGTGAAGTATATCCAGAAGGACACCCCAGACTTTAAAACAAGAATTGTGAGCCCAGGTTAGGAACACTCAAGCTCTAAAGATGAATACATTTTTCTAATCATCTACAAAATTGCCACCCCTCTGAAGTGGTCTGGCTGATACTTACAGCTCGTGGTTTTTTGTTTAACTTCAGATCAATCCTGTGATAGGAAAGATAAAAGATATTTGGATTTTAATTTACAGAAATGAGTCCAACAATCACCTACTGCATAGGGCACAAGCTATAACAAAGACTATTTGGTTAAGTAAAATCCACATTCTTCATTAAGCTATATCATATTTAGTTGTTTACCCAGATATTATTAAGCAAGTATTAAAAATTAAGAGCAGATATTTTTGCCATAGGCAAACTTAGATGACTCTAAAAAGAAATGTATATAGCGGTTACAAAAGCCATATAATTTTTAAAAACTATCCCAAAATTACATATTAAAGAGACTGAATTAAAAGGGCATGCTCTATGTTAGTATGTTAGCTCTTTAACTATATCACACTGAAAATTACTGAGACATATGGTGATTAAGAACAGGAAAGAGACTAGGAGTTTGTATTTCTGGACATGAAACACAAAAGAAATTAAATGAATTTCAATTTTTAAATCTTTCCAAAGCAAAATATCAAGATCTGAAACTATTAATCTCCTTATGAAGCAAAGCCAGAAAATCAATTTAAATATGAATTAAAGTAAAGATTATCTATTTTAAAGGAAATTAAAATGCATAAAAGTGAAGTTTACTTAATTTTGCTTAAGTTATTAAATAAAATGTTACCTCCATCACGTTTTTCTGTTTTTAAAAAAAACTTCCCAGCCTAACCTAATATACATACCTACAATTAAACAGATAAACTATGGGTTAGAAAGGTCTCAAAAAGGCATACTGGTGTCTACACACTAAACAACACAGCACAAATACTAATTCAAATCAAACTTACTCAAAGTCATAATCAAACATGCCAGACGGGCTGAGGGGCAGCATTTGAAAGGAAGAAAGCAATAGAAATTAATACACTAATTGAAAAAATTAGTCGATTAGCCACCCTAGCAAGAATTGTAGACACAAAACAGCTTTAAGAATCTTAAGCCATAGAGTTTCAAACATCATAGCACCAAAGATTTTGTGGCCAGGAGATTCCCTTCCCTCAGTAGATTTCATATCAGAAGAATAGACTATGAAAGGAAAAGTTATTTCATTAGAAAACTACAAATACCTGGAGCCCTTTTATTAGCTGCCAGATTCAGAGTTAGAATTTTAATGATATTTAACTGTATTTAAAAATATAATTAGGGCATTAGAAGAAAACACAGAAAGAAGGGTTTAGTCATATAATGAAGGGCACTTTGAAGACAGTGCTAACAACTCAGCATAATACACTTTCACTAAAATAAAAGATGACAAAAACATTCTAAACTTTAAAAAGGAAAACATTTTACAACTTTTTACTCAAGTTATATGTTCTAAACGTGTCCAAGGAACATGGTGCTCCTTTTCTACAGCCTTCATCCTAGAAGCCAAGGGTTGAATGAATAAACTTCAGTGGGAGAGTCTTTTTCCAAAAACTGAAGAGCAATATTACTCTGTAGCCTAAGTTGGTGCTGGCAGTTAACTGTTTATGCCAGGACTACAATTAAGGAACACCAAATCTGCAGTGCCCCTATTTGTTGACATCCACAAATACCCAAGCCTCAGGGATCTGGATGGAAGTACAGAGGAGGAGGCCATTTTGTGCCATCACTGCTAACAGACCATGGTCTGGGCAGACCTCCAAAGCAAACATTAACCCAGAGCATGATACCTGCTTCTTAGCTGGCTCCAACACCCCAGGCTTTAACAGGTGGCAAAACAATATACAAATCACTACATTTTTCTCCTAAAAATGTCTGCAAGAATGAAGCAGGAAGAAAGCTAATGTCAATATCCTTGACACAATATTTTCACTTAAGACATTTGGAAGAATATACAGTAAGTATACAAACCAGAAATTATCAAATATTTCATTTTCAGCCTGACTTAACTTTGCTCAAAAATTAAAATAGACTGTACCTAATTAATCAAAACTTCACAAACTACCTAGAAGAATTTTAGGGTTTACTATAGAAGCAGAAACCTGCAAGAGCAGCTATATGCTATTATTTCAACTTTTTCTTTATTTTTTTCTATTTTTATTTTTTTGAGACAGAGTCTCGTTTTGTTGCCCAGGCTAGAGTGAGTGCCATGGCGTCAGCCTAGCTCACAGCAACCTCAAAATCCTAGGCCCAAGCAATCCTTCTGCCTCAGCCTCCCGAGTAGCTGGGACTACAGGCATGCACCACCATGCCCGGCTAATTTTTTCTATATATATTAGTTGGCCAATTAATTTCTTTCTATTTATAGTAGAGACAGGGTCTCGCTCTTGCTCAGGCTGGTTTCGAACTCCTGACCTCGAGCAATCCTCCCGCCTCAGCCTTCCAGAGTGCTAGGATTACAGGCGTGAGCCACCGTGCCCAGCCTCAACTTTTTCTTTAAAGACACTAGGACTCACTTATTGTTCAGGTTATCATTTAAAGTATAAGATTAAGAACACTGTGATCACCATGAAGGCTAAAAATTACTTGATATATTTTCATATTCCTGAAGAGGGCAAATTCAAATGTTATTTCCTTTTGTTAAAGTGCCATGCTTATTTCCACTTTGCTTTGTTCAGCAGTGAACGGTACCTAGCACATAGTAAGTTCTCAAATATTTGTTCAAATAATTTACTATTGACTCTCTCTGACCATACAGAGTATGGCACACTGAAGGAGAAACACACTGTACTAGGTATAAACTTCTCAATATGCAGGGACAATATTTATCCCCGCTCCACTAAGCTATCAGTCAGGGGGGTAAGAGACTTGGACAGACATAATTCCTGAATAAGGATGGCCAGAATTCAAGAACCTTAACTAGCCACTGAAGTGCCACTCAGTCACACTGAATCTGGACTCCCTAAAAAAGCAGCAAATCAGCTCTACTCTCCTCTCTTAGGGCAGATGAGTGCTAAGGCAAAGGCCTCTCCTAAGGTCAAAGGAGACAATCAGCCAGATACTAAATCAGAGGAAAGACAAAGGACAGCTATAAAACCCAGGATTCTGCTTTCCGAACAGAAAACACCATTTGTGAAAGCAATAACTAATATCAAAGATCTTTATAACTATTAGTATTTTTTCTGGAATGAGTTAGCTTCTAGGGCCAGGAGAAGAAAAGATAGCAAGAAGTATTCCTATGGAAATTTACTAGAAATCTGCAAGAAGAAAGTAAAGTTCAATGCTTCTCTAATGTCTTTTTATCAGTCATCAGCTGATCATGTCACTAGTGGAAATGAGGTATTACCTGAAATAAACAGGTATCTAGAGAGTCTATTGATCAGTAATGGGAAAAAAAGTCCCAGAAACTTTCAAGGAATTTCCTTCCTACTCTAGACATTATGAAATAACTAAATAATTATTATTTTAAAAGGACACTGGAATAAATTCAATAAAAGCAACATAGAGCATGACATTTAATTATCTTGACAATTTTAAAAAATATTATTTTCGGCCGGGCGCGGTGGCTCACGCCTGTAATCCTAGCATTCTGGGAGGCTGAGGCAGGAGGATTGCTCGAGGTCAGGAGTTCGAAACCAGCCTGAGCAAGAATGAGACCCCCGTCTCTACTATAAATAGAAAGAAATTAATTGGCCAACTAAAATATATATAAAAAATTAGCCGGGCATGGTGGCGCATGCCTGTAGTCCCAGCTACTCGGGAGGCTGAGGCAGTAGGACTGCTTGAGCCCAGGAGTTTGAGGTTGCTGTGAGCTAGGCTGACGCCATGGTACTCACTCTAGCCTGGGCAACAAAGTGAAACTCTGTCTCAAAAAATATATATATATATGCATAATTTTTGCTATTTCTTACTACAGTTATGAAATTAGCATGGTGACTTATGGTTTGCAGAAAAATGTTAAGCAGCAGTTCTTAGTCACTACTTGGAGGAAATACTATTTCTGCAGCCTAAAAAACACTACTGTTATCAACAAGAAAAACTCTTAAAAGAATTAAGGAATCAGCTGATGCCAAGGAGGTTGAAATCAGTTAGAGTTAATTCTACATTATCCCCATATTCATACCCACGAAGCTAACAATTTTACTACCTTGCATGTATGAAAGAATAGCCAAAAGTTTTGTAAAGCAAACCCAGAAACAAACTAGAAGACAGGGAACCCTATCCAATCCTTGCATACCCCACCCCCTCTCACCTCCACAGCATGCAGGCTCCCAAGAGGAGTGGACAAATGCATAGTTTCTAGAGTAAGGAATCTTGCCCTGGCTTCAAACCTGCTGGGAGGCATGGAAACCCTGTGAATACCTGGTTTCCATGTCTCCTAGGAAGTCTGAAGGACTATCCTTCCATCAGCAACAGAAAGGCTCTGAAACAATCCTGAAGAGTTTAATTCTAGGAAAGTCCCTTCACAAGCAATGGTCATGAAGCTCTAGGCAGTGGGATCCCTGCCACTGACCTGTGCCGGTTTTTATTCTTTCGCTTTTTATGGCTGCTGTGATGACTCCCTGAGGAAGTAGAAGAAGCAGCCTTCTGAGGTTTCACTCCCTGCACAGATCCATCCAGATCCTCAGGATCCTCCTGGTTGGGCTCATTTTCCTGATTGTGGAAGTCTGGAGAAGTATCGCTTTCTGTCCCACTTCCTGGCTCCCCTGGAGGGAATAAAACACAAATCCCCAAGTACGTCATCAGTACTACTTGGGCAATCTGTCCATAATCAGGAAAGATTTTCTGAGGACTAATATGCAGAAAAAGACCATTCTCTACCCTCAAGGACCATACATTCTCTTTGACAGAGAAAATTACATGTTGACAGAGAAGATACATACAAAGCATCAAAGTTACCAGAGCTCCTGAAAAACATGTAATCAGAAACAGTATAACCAGAGGCAAAAGATCTAAGCACAGCTGGGAGATGCGAACTTAGGACCAGGATAACCTGACTGCATAAAGGTTATTTAAACATCAAATACACTCATGGGATTAATAATTATACAAAAAAAAAATTACTGAAAATGCCAGATAGATCTCCAGAGGGATAAGGGATGATCCTGGGAAAACTGCCTATAGCTGGCCATGGTTCTTTTCCCAAACCATACAGGAGTCCCATCTTTCTATCAAGAAAAAGGGCCCAAGAGTGAGAAGAGTCCATTCCTGAATTACTAAAATCTTTTTTTTTTTTGAGACAGGGTCTCACTTTGTTGCCCAGGCTAGAATGAGTGCTGTAGCGTCAGCCTCGCTCACAGCAACCTCAAACTCCTGGGCTCAAGCGATCCTCCTGCCTTAGCCTCCCGAGTGGCTGGGACTACAGGCATGCGCCACCATGCCCGGCTAATTTTTTCTATAAATATTAGTTGGCCAGCTAATTTCTTTCTATTTATAGTAGAGATGGGGTCTCACTCTTGCTCAGGCTGGTTTCGAGCTCCTGACCTCGAGCAATCCTCCTGCCTCGGCCTCCCAGAGAGCTAGGATTACAGGCGTGAGCCACCGCGCCCGACCTACTCAAGTCTTAAGAATGTTTTTAAAAAGTACTAATACTCTTCAGCTGACACATATTCTCAATATTAAAGCCTCACTTAGATATAATAAACAAAAGCAAGTTCAAGAAAAACTTGAATAAAAAAATACATATTTTTAAGAATATAATTACATATATTTTTATATACGTATATTAGTTTTTGCTGAAAGGAATTTCTTGAAACTCCGATAAGGATGAAGGAAGACTTTCACATTACTCAAATGTCGAAGGATCCCAAATATATACATTATCTGTTTCTAAAAATTGTCAAAAGGGATTATGTGGATAGCAGGACCAGGGACCAATTTTCTTCTTTTTATGGTCTTCATATTATAAGCTGCTGGGAGGAGATTTTAAATTGAGTAGCATATGGATATAAGAAGTAAAGGAAAGAGACAGTCCCAAAAAGGAGAAGAGATAAACAGCCAAATCTCAGAAATCATGAAATCCTATTTTTGAACACATTTAAAAAAAAACAACAAAAAACGAAGCTCTAGAGCTATGAAGCTAGAAAAAGTAGACTAGACCAATTTTGTCCTTCTGAAGTTCAAGAAAACTGACTTCACATAAAAAAACAACATACTACACAAAGCTGCAGTAATCAACAGTGTGGTCCTGGTACAGGATAGACATATAGGTCAAGGACTAGAATTCAGAGTTCAGGATAAACCCCTTACATTTTTGGTCAATTGATTTCCAACATGGGCAACGACAATTCAAAAAAGAAAGAATAGTCTTTTCAACAAATGGTGCTGGCACAACTGGATATTCAAATGCAAAATAATGAAGTTGGACTGCTATCTCATATCATATGTAAAAAATAACTCAAAATAGATCATAGATAGACCTAAATGTAAGAGCTAGGACTAAAGCTCCTAGAATCCACTGGGTTATGCAATGGTTTCTTAGACATAACCACAAAAGCAAATGTAACAAAAGAAAAAAATATATAAATTGCATTATATCATTTACATAAAAACTTTTGGCCAGGCACAACAGCCTACAATCCCAGCACTTTTGGAGGCTGAGACAGGAGGATTACTTGAGTCCAGGAATTCAAGACTAGCTTGGGCAACATAAGGAAACCCCACCTCTGTCAAAAAACTTAAAAAAAAACAAATCAAACAAAAAAACTTTTGAGCTGCAAACAATAACAAGAAAGTGAAAAGACAACACACAGAATGGGAGACGATATTTGCAAATTATATATCTGCTAAGAGATTTGCATCTAGTATATATAAAGAACCGTTAAAACTCAATAGTAGAAAGACACAAAGCCAAATTTATAAGTTAGCAAAGGATTGGAATAGATATTTCTCCAAAGATAGACAAAATGGCCAATAAGCCATCCAGAAAGATGTGTCAGGATAATATAAAGCTTTTCATGCTAGTTACCTCCCTCAGAAAGTTGGGACTGAAGTATAACAGAAGGTAATTAACCTTTTTCATATTCATTTTTGAATTACTTGACTTATCACATTGAGAATGTATTGCTTTTCTAGTTTAAAAAAAAAAATCTACTAGTAGTCCCAGCTACTCCAGAGGCTGAATCAGGAGGATCACTTGAGCCCAGGAGTTCAAGGCTGTACTAAGATCATGCCTGTGATTAGCCACTGCACTCCAGGCTGGACAATACAGCAAGATCCTGTCAAAGAAAGGGGGAAAGGAAAGAGGAAAAGAAAGGAAAGGGAAGAAGAATAATCTAATGAAATATAAAAAGATACATCTGAAAGGGAGAACTGTGGTCAGGACAGTGAACCCTCCTCTCCCATACCCAGTCACTCCTACTTTGACATAGGTAAAGAAATATCATTTCTAAGAATGCAAATGGCAGAAGCACTGGTTGGAGTGAGAAAAGGTTGACAGGGCATGAAGCCACAAAAGCTCTGGATCATGCCAGAAGGGATTCAGGACTAAGGGGGGGAGGGTGGAAACAGGGGGAGAGAGGGAAGAGATAACTAAAAGGTGGGAGACAGGTAAGAAAGGCAAGTTAGATGCCACAAATTTTTTTTATGTTGCAATTCTACTAAAAGATGCTGATGAGCAAAACCAACTGCTTCTTCATTTTGGGCCAGTTACTATGGGAGCATTGAGTAAAAGGATGAGTTGGTCACTCTGCAAATCCATATGTCCATACACATGTGTACAAACATATATAAAACAGTTTAAATTGAATCAAAGCCCTATAAATGGAGAATTCACCTGTGTTACCTCTCTGAAGTAACATACCAGGCAGTTAACAGATGTCCCAAAGGACTGATATGGACGTTAGCACCATAAGAGTGAGAGAATAAAGAGCAGATTATCCAGGAAAAGTTTCATTAAGAGGGTGGAATTGAAACTAGACTCTGAAAAATGAGAAGCCAAGATAAGTACAAAAAATAGCACAAGCAAAGGTACAGAGGTGAGAAACACAAGGTATATTTGGTACAAATGAATCTAACAATATCTCTCAAACAGAAAGCTTGAAAAATGAAAGATATACTGGAAAGACAGGTTAACAGGGGTCATAAATACCTGACTAGGGAATTTCATCTACACAAACAGTGTGAGGGGATGGTTAAGAGAACTGACTTGTCACTTAACTTTCTGAGTCTGTTTCCTCATTTTTAAAATAGCAATTCTTTCTCACATATGACAAATATTAATATTTATGAGTATCTCTTATGGATGAGGCATCAACCTAGACATTGGAGCTATAGCAATGTTCCCTACTTTCATGGAGCTTACAATTCTGTACCTATCTTTAAGGAGTAAGTAGCTTTAAGGATTAAAGGTGATAATACAAGCAAAGTGCTTGCTCAGAGTCTGGAACACAATAAATTGTGTTCAGATCTTAATATTCTTGAGATCTACAAACATGCAAGTCAAATTTTAAACAAACAATAAAGATTATTTCTAGCACAACAGTTGTGAGCAAGATATAACAAGGGAAAGCCATCAAGAAAGAATTTCTGGGCCGGGCGCGGTGGCTCACGCCTGTAATCCTAGCTCTCTGGGAGGCCGAGGCGGGCGGATTGCTCGAGATCAGGAGTTCGAAACCAGCCTGAGCAAGAGCGAGACCCCGTCTCTACTGTAAATAGAAAGAAATTAATTGGCCAACTGATATATATATATATATAAAAAATTAGCCGGGCATGGTGGCGCATGCCTGTAGTCCCAGCTACTCCGGACGCTGAGGCAGTAGGATCGCTTGAGCCCAGGAGTCTGAGGTTGCTGTGAGCTAGGCTAACGCCACGGCACTCACTCTAGCCTGGGCAACAAAGTGTGACTCTGTCTCCAAAAAAAAAAAAATAAAAAAAAAGAATTTCTGAACAGAGGAGCCACATAAAACAATGAATATTTTGTAAGTTCTCTGTATAAACCCACGTTTTAGGATTACTAGGCTAGAAGTGGTTTATGAAAAGAACCAGGAACAAGGGTGACTAGATTAAACACTATTAACATACAAAGTGAGAAGGACAAAGTGAGAATAATCTTCTGCCTTGGCTCATGGAAGCAGAAGAGGTATGATCATAAAATGGGCAGGTTACGCCTCAAAGTGCAGCAGCAAATGAATCAACTGTATGATGCTGCCATCATGAAAAAACACACAAGTTTGTTTCTCATTGGCATAAAAATAAGCAACTCATTTTAGGGGAAATTTTGATTAATTTGTAAAGCCATAAATGAGGTGCTGCTCTACTTACTAAAAGAAAGAAATGGCTATTAAGGCCAATAACTTTTTCTTTTTTTTCTTGAAACAGGGTCTTGCTCTGTCTCCCAGGCTAGATAGAGTGCAGTGGAGTCATCACAGCTCACTGCAACCTCAAACTCCTTGGCTCAAGCAATCCTTCTGACTCAGCCTCCCAAGTAGCTGGGACTATAGGCATGCACCACCAAAACCAACTAATCTTTCTATTTTTTATATATATGAGGTCTCACTTTGCTCAGGCTGGTCTCAAATTCCTGGCCTCAAGCAATCCTTCCATCTCAGGCTTCCAAAGCCATTAACTTCGGAGCAGCAAAAAAGGTTTAAAGGAGGAAGAGAAGATACCCAGTACAATGCTTACTTACCCACTGGAATGATTTAAATGCTGAAGAGAGATCTGATTTGATGAAAGCTTCAAACAAACAGAGCCTGTGCTGAGACTAGATAAAATCTGCCTGTTTTCTTTTTCTTTTCTTTTCTTTTTTCTTTTTTGAGACAAGAGTGTCACTTTATTGCCCAGGCTAGAGTGAGTGGCGTCAGCCTAGCTCACAGCAACCTCAAATTCCTGGGCTCAAGCAATCCTACTGCCTCAGACTCCCAAGTAGCTGAGACTACAAGCATGCACCACCATGCCTGGCTGGTTTTTCTATACATATTAGTTGGCCAATTAATTTCTTTCTATTTATAGTAGAGACGGGGTCTCCCTCAGGCTGGTTTTGAACTCCTGACCTCGAGCAATCCTCCTGCCTCGGCCTCCCAGAGTGCTAGGATTACAGGCGTGAGCCACCTCGCCTGGCCTTCTTTTTCTTTTACTTTATTGTTTTTACAAAATATACAATGCTTCACAAATTTGCACAAAATTCTCCTTTAGGGATCATGCAAATCTTCTCTATCATTTTAGTGTGTGTACAAATGAAGCAAAAAAAAAGCAGAAAGTAATGCATTTTTGAGAAAAAATTTCAGAATGCTAAAAGTACAAAACTCCAAAATCCTTTAAATCTAAGAATATGCCAAGTAAAAATTCTAAGAAAAAAGAATGTTTGCTTCATCCCCACTGGAGATCAAAGGCATTATGAACAAGAACTCATTCCACAAAATTTGTCACAGAAATTCTAAAACACTGGAAGGACTCTATACAAAGGAAAAGAAGTGAAAAGCAAACTAAACCATTCCTTTCATGGAATTAAAGTTTGGTTTGAATTATGTGGGCCTTCCAGGGACCCTCAAGCCTTGAACCTGGTTTAAAGAAGTCCAAGTGCCTAACAGAAGCAAACATTCTTATCTGGGAGGCAGTACCTTCCATCCTAGCCCTCAAATTATTTTACTAAATACTTTTTAAATTACAACGAGCAATACACAAGAATAACCTAGCATACAAGGAAATTAGATTTCATCAGCAATAACCAACAGAAACAATAGACAATAGAAACAGGCCCTGAAAGCCTTTGGAGGCTGAAATAAAGTACAGACTATAGAACAACAATGCTTACTATGTGTAAAGAAGTAAAAGACAAGTTTGAAAATAACTGCAGAGAAAGCTATTAAAAAATTAAATGGCAGAGTTTTAAAATAATTGAATGATTTTCTAGAAATCAAAAATGCAAAAACAAAGATTTAAAATCAAGAAAAGGGTTAACAGCATATCAGACACAGCTACAAAGAGAATTAGCGAACTGGTAGATATGTGAGGAAAAAATGTGGTCTTACAATGTAACACAGAGACAAAAAGATAGAAGAGACAATAAAAAACATAAAGGATAAATTGGGAAGATTTAAATACATTTAACCAAAGTACCAGAAAAAGAGGAAAACGGCAAACCACAGTTTTAAGAAGTCTAAAGAAAGCCAGCCAGATAAATGAAAAATTCATACTTAGACACATTGTAGTTAGCTGTAGAAAATCAAGACAAAAACAAAATCTTAAAAAAGAGCAGTGAGGGACAGTAATGACAGAGGTGTGGGATATAATGCAACAGAATTACTGTAAAGGGCCTCTGAAAGAATTCAAGGCAGCTTACCAAGACTTATATAATGAAATACAATAAAATAAATTAAAAATGAGAAAAGTAAGGCAAAGATAAACAGAAGAGGAAAATAAGCTGGATATAGTTTTAAGATTCATTCCCAAAATGTATCCTATAAATATCTATTTGGTTGCTAGAGGGGAAAAACAAATTTGGCTTTAAGCATTTTAGCACCCACACAAAGAAGAAAACAGTCAATTACTAGATTTTTCAGTGAAAAAAACAACTTTGTTCAGGGAAAATTACTTCTAAAGGAGATAATTAGTAATGATAATAAACATCTGTAACATCCTCTCACAATATACAGTAACATATTTTACAGGACTAGAGCATAATTCAGCAAAAATAATTTTACAGGGAAAACCAAGATACCAACATGATATACTCCAGAGTGTGGCTCAATCCAGGATGAAGACTTTATTTTTATTTATTTATTTATTTTTGAGACAGAGTCTCGCTCTGTTGCCCGGGCTAGAGTGCTGTGGCATCAGCCTAGCTCACAGTAACCTCAAACTCCTGGGCACAAGCAATCCTCCTGCCTCAGCCTCCTGACTAGCTAGGACTACAGGCATATGCCACCATGCCTGGGTAATTTCTTTTTTTGAGACAGAGTCTCACTTTGTTGCCCAGCCTAGAGTGAGTGCCGTGGCATCAGCCAAGCTCACAGCAACCTCAAGCTCCTGGGCTCAAGGATCCTCCTGGTTTAGTCTCCCGAGTAGCTGGGACTATAGGCATGCGCCACCATGCCCGGCTAATTTTTTCTATATATATTTTTAGTTGGTCAATTAATTTCTTTCTATTTATAGTAGAGACGGGGTCTTGCTCTCGCTCAGGCTGGTTTCCAACTCCTGACCTTGAGCAATCCGCCCACCTCAGCCTCCCAGAGCACTAGGATTACAGGCATGAGCCACCACGCCAGGCCTCCTGGGTAATTTTTTCTATATATTTTTTTAGTTGGCTAGCTAATTTCTATATTTTTAGTAGAGACGGGGTCTGGCTCTTGCTCAGGCTAGTCTTGAACTCCTGACCTCAAGCAATCCTCCAGCCTCAGCCTCCCAGAGTGCTAGGATTACAGGCGTGAGCCACAGCGCCTGGCCAAAGACCTTAAAATCTTTAATATACATAAGTGTCTCATTTCTAAGAGTAGTGACTTTAAGAGTCTTTTCCTGGCCAGGCATGGTGGCTCACACCTGTAATCCTAGCACTCTGGGAGGCCCAGGCAGGCGGATTGCTCAAGGTCAGGAGTTTGAAACCAGCATGAGCAAGAGTGAGACCCCTAGCTGTGAGCTAGGCTGATGCCAGGGCACTCACTCTAGGTTGGGCAACAAAAGCGAGACTGTGTCTCAAAAAAAAAAAAAATAATAATAATAAGAGTCTTTTCCTCACCAGTACATAGACATAGCTATTCTGCATAACTAGACAGATACAGAACCATATACTGAATTATAAACTCATCTCATCCAGGGTGGGATTACAGGCTCTTATGAAAACCAAGTCAGACATCATTCCATCTCAACTTACAGGAATGAGGCCTAGGATGTTCCTTAACCAGTCTTGTTACTCTACAAAGGAGATGACACAGCTCTACATTCTAGAATTGGTATTAATTGAAAAGAAATAAGACACGGCTAAGAGTTACAGTAAAAGAAAAATCAAAAAGATTAGTACTGGGTCAAAATGGTTCTTGAAAAAAAAAAAACGGCTTGGTACAACTGATTAGGTTGGCAGAAAGGAGTCAAAGATGTCCACAGATTTCTGAATGAGTGTGAAGAGAAGTACCATCACAAAAAAACTGGGTAGACAAATTTTGAAAGAAATAAAACAACTCTGTTTTATACAAAATGTTTTGAGTTTAAAGATCTGAGTAGAAATGTCTAGAAGGAAATGTGGGACTAAAGCTCAGGAAATAAGTTAAGGATACAGCAACAAATTTAGAAATCCGTACAGAGAGATAATAACTGAGTAGTTCTAGTTTCCAAACTACTAAAATCCTTTTTCCTCAAATTATTGCCCCAATGCAAACAAAAGAACTAGATCTCACAAGATACATCACCTGAAAGAAGTACACAGCAATACAAAAAAAAAAAAAAAAACCAGGCTGTATTTCAAAGTGATCCAATACAGAGGAAAACATCCAAACAGCTACACAAACTCAGAAAGTTAAATGTACAGATCTACATCCCATCACTAGAAATTAGAACAGAATGAAATTGTATGGCTTATGAACAGACAATGATATAATTTGTTTACAAAGTAAAAGGTACCTACTTTCCATTATATATTTAAGAACACACAGTACATTCTGTTTATAGGATGAGAATTTCCTAAGAATTATTAAGCTGGGTCTGAGGGGATTTATTAGGTATGTTTGAAGTTTTTCATTAAAGTTATTGCTTTAATTTTTCTAAAATTCCCTAAGAATTTATAAGATTTATCTGGAGTGAAGACATCTTTGTGTATCTGAATATTTGAGATGCTAAAACCAACCTTCATGTGACAGAAGAGGCAGGAAAGAAATGGCAATTTCTTCCTTGAAAGAAAAGCATGATTAAGTCTACCTGAAAGGCTTCCCAACTGCTAAAAAGAAGAGGGAAGAGTACAAGAGATGTAGTCCTCAGATACACAACTGGATATGGGTTAAATATAGGCACTCTGGTAGTTTAAAAATAAACTGACGAGAAAAGTAAAAACATAAACTTACTCTTTTCAATGAGCTGGTCCTGAACTCCTGCCAATGCGCTAACTGCCTAAAAAAAAAAAAAAAAAAAAAAAACACACCAATTACTGGAAAAGCAAGCACAGACCTCAGGAGAGCACTCCCAGAGGAATGGAAAGAGAAAATTCACATTCCCCTACAACAGGCCACAGAAAGATCCACCCCCACCACCACTTACAGCTGCTGATGTAACTGAAGATTTACTGAAAAGCCGCTCAGCTTCCTTAAACTTCCGGTTCCTTCGATCGTTTTTGCTATTGGAGTTTCTACAACACATAGAAGAAATTCATTATAAGCACCAAGCTATGTGTATAGCTCAAGCTGGGGATGCCCCAGGACTTATGTAAAGAACCATTTTTTTTTAAACCAAGTTTCATGCAGGAAGCCTCTATGTCACTTAGGTTGGCCCAAATAACCTTCAGGCGGATTGACTACATAGAAAGCAATGTTTTCTAATGTATGGTATGTGCTCCACTGTGGGACATGAGATTTAGTTGCTTCACAAACATTTTCACTTTAATATTTATTTTTAAATGCTTATTATTGGCCAGGCATGGTGGCTCATGTCTGTAATCCTAGCATTCTGCGAGGCCCAGGTGGGAGGATCGTTTGAGCTCAGGAGTTCGAGACCAGCCTGAGCAAGAGAGACACCCCATCTCTACTAAAAAAATAGAAAGAAATTAGCTGGACAACTAAAAATATATAGAAAAAATTAGCTAGGCATGGTGTCACATGCCTGTAGTCCCAGCTACTCAAGAGGTTGAGGCAAGGAGGAGAGGATGGGTATATACAACCACAACGAGTAAGATATGCAACTTTTTGGGGGGATGGACACGCTTGAAGCCCTTACTCGAGGGGGTAGGGGGACATGGGCAATATATGTAACCTTAACACAAGTACCCCCATAATACACTAAAATAAAAAAAATTAAAAATAAAAATAAAGCCGGGCGCGGTGGCTCACGCCTGTAATCCTAGCTCTCTGGGAGGCTGAGGCAGGCGGATTGCTCGAGGTCAGGAGTTCGAAACCAGCCTGAGCAAGGAGCGAGACCCATCTCTACTATAATAGAAAGAATTACTTGGTCAACTAATATATACAAAAAATTAGCCGGGCATGGTGGCGAATGCCTGTAGTCCCAGCTACTTGGGAGGCTGAGGCAGGAGGATTGCTTGAGCCAGGAGTTTGAGGTTGCTGTGAGCTAGGCTGACGCCACGGCACTCACTCTAGCCTGGGCAACAAAGCAAGACTCTGTCTCAAAAAAAATAAAAATAAAAATAAAAAAATAAAAAAATAAAAATAAAGAGGTTGAGGCAGTAGGATTGTTTGAGCCCTGGAGTTTGAGATTGCTATGAGCTAGGCTGATGCCAAGGCACTCTAGCCTGGGCAGCAGAGTAAGAATCTGTTTCAAAAAAAAAAAATGCTTATTATTAAAAAAGACTAGCAAAAACTAGTGAAGTGTCTTTTAAATAAACTTAATTTTCAAATTTAAAGAAAAAAATCAGGGTTCCTTAGAGAAATGGCTAATACTAAGTCTGGAGTGGGGGGAACGAGGTGAGTATAGAACATCTTTTGGGCCAGAAAGCAACAAAGTACTACAAGACTAATGGTGTCATGTCAAAAGGACAAAGGAATCAGCTTGAGGAGGCTCCCTCTGACCACATTTGGGACAAATGTGGAAGAACAAAAGGGAGAAAAGTTAAAAAAGGAAGACTCCTGTTCAGAATGCCAGTAATAAATATAAACAGAATAATAAAATTGGAGTATAACCATTTTGCAACTTCCAATGTAATAACTGAGTCAGATAAGAATCAACAATGGATATTAAAACAACTAAATAAAAATTTAGAGGAAGCAGTATATTCACAATGTCTAAAAGTATAACATTTAGAAACAACATGGCCAGGCATGGTGGCTCATGTCTATAATCCTAGCAATTCAGGAGGCCGAGGCAGAAGGAACACTTGAGGCCAGGAGTTCAAGACCAGCCTGATCAATATAGTGAGACCTCCATCTCTACAAAAAAATTGAAAAATTAGCAGGGGCTGGGGGCGGTGGCTCACACCTGTAATCCTAGCACTCTGGGAGGCTGAGGCGGGCAGATTGCTTGAGGTCAGGAGTTCGAAACCAGCCTGAGCAAGAGTGAGACCCCGTCTCTACTATAAATAGAAATAAATTAATTGGCCAACTAATATATATATAGAAAAAATTAGCCGGGCATGGTGGTGCATGCCTATAGTCCCAGCTACTTGGGAGACTGAGGTAGTAGGATTGCTTAAACCCAAAAGTTTGAAGTTGCTGTGAGCTAGGCTGACGCCACGACATTCACTCTAGCCTGGGCAACAAAGTGAGACCCTGCCTCAAAAAAAAAAAAAAAAAAGAAAAGAAAAGAAAAATTAGCAGGGTGTAGTGGAACCCACCTATAGTCCCAACTACTCAGGAGCATATGGCAAAAGAATCGCTTGTGCCCAGGAGTTTGAGGTTGCAGTGAACTGTCATCACACCACTGCACTCTAGCCTGGGCAACAGAGCAAGACCTTGTTTCAAAAAAAAGAATAAAAGTATAACTTCCAAAATTATTCGTTAATCACACTAGGAAAAATAAACTTTTATAGCAGAGATCATATGATCAAACTTAGCAGCACGAATAATGGGACAATCTGACATTATGTGCCCACTGGTAAAACAGAGGTAGACAACAAAAGGTATACAAATCACTTATGTAATGTTTTTGCCAAAAATGTTTAAAGGATCTCTCATGAGGTCACAATAAAAATCTGAAATTGGTACATTCTACAAGGCAATGTCATGAACACCACTATAACAACCATCAAAAAGGGTGACTCTCTGTAAGACATTAACAGCCAAACTCAATGCATGAATGCGTAATGGATGCTGGATCAAAACAAAGCAGCAAAGCATCTGGGGCACAATTGAGGAAATTGTAATAAAGACTGTATTAGGGCTGGTCACAGTGGCTCATGCCTGTAATCCTAGCACTCTGAGAGGCCAAGGCAGGAGGATTGCTTGAGCTCAGGAGTTTGAGGCCAGCCTGAGCAAGAGCGAGATCTCGTCTCTACTAAAAGTAGAAAGAAATTAGCTGGACAACTAAAAAAAATAGAAAAGATTAGCCAGGCATGGTGGCACGTGCCTGTAGTTCCAACTACCCAGGAGGCTGAGGCAGGAGGATTGCTTGAGCCCAGGAGTTTGAGGTTGCTGTGAGCTAGGCTGATGTCATGGCACTCTAGCGCAGGCAAGAGAGTGAGACTCTGTCTCAAAAACAAAACAAACCAAACAAAAAAGACTATATTAGATGATACTATTAACATAGTGCTAGTTTTCTAGGTATGATAGCTATGGTTAGGTAGGAGAAATGTCCTTATTCTCAGGATAGTAACTACTGACATATTCAGGTGTAAAGTGTCAGGATATCTGCATCTAACTTTCATATGCTTTAGCAGAAAAAAAAGTACAGGGGGACAAGGGGACATAACCATAAAGGAATAGGATGAAGATCTCTGTGGTGATGGAATAGTTCTGTATCTTGATTGTGGTTACATGAATCTACACATGCGATAAACTGATACAAAACTATATATAAACATTGTACCAATGCCAAATTCCTGGTTTTGATATTGTATTATAGTTACATAAAACACAACCATTGGGGGAAACTGGATGAAGGGTACAAAGGACCTCTCTGTACTATTTTTTTTTAATTAATTAATTTATTTTTGACACAGGGTCTCACTATGTTGCCTAGACTAGAGTACAGTGGCGTGTATCATAGCTTACCGCAACCTCGAACTCTTGGGCTCAAGTGATCCTCTTGCCCCAGCTGGGACTATAGGTGCACACCACCAGACACAGCTAATTTTTAAAAATTTTTTGTAGAGATCGGAGTCTTTGCTATTCCTCAGGCTTATCCCAAACTCCTGAGCTCAAGAGATCCTCCAACCTCAGCTTCCCAAAATGCTAGGAGTACAGGTATGAGCAACCATGCCCAGCTCTGTACTACTTTTGCAACTTCCTATGAATCTATAATTATTTCAAAATAAATTTAAGTGTAGATACAAGTGTGTGTATATATGTATTATAGAGAGAAAGTGATAAAGAAAATGTAGCAACATGTTAACAATTTATGAATATAGGTGGATAGTATCAAGTATTCATATACTACTCTTTTAATTTTTCTACAGATTTGAAAATTTTCCAAAAGTTTAGAAATTTTTAAAGAGTATTATTACTAAGTAAATAGCCGTACAGTTGGCACAGAGGTATGGCAAAAATTGTGAGGGTGGAGCTCATGACTGATTAAAATGTGGAAAACATGAACACAACCCTGTTGTGTAAAGTATTGTCATGTGTTGTATTTCATTTTAAGCCTCATATAACTCTGTGTCATAGGCCTGACTGTCCCTATTTTACAGAGGTGGGCTTTGCCAAGATTACTCAGTAAGGCAGTAGCTGAGCCAGAGTCCAAGTTCAAGTCCAAACCTCTTTCCACAAAACCACTTTAATACTGCCTTCTGCAAAGCTGCTACCAAGAGCATATAGTCCTACAAACAAATGTTACTAGGGCACAACTGGTACAGGCTTCTGACACTCACTTTTGGTTGGTCAGGTATCGATCCCAGCCACGAATAATATTGCCATACATCTGAGTGTCTTCCAAGTAGCTTCCTTCAAAAGCATAGATCTGTCTCTCCAAGTTTGCCAGTGTTTCCTGAGAGATGCCAAACAAGGACATAAATAATGCCTTTTAAATATAAACATTTAAGTTTAACCAAACTGAAATCCTGATATTAGACTTGTAAACCCAAGCTCGCCCACACTAAACCACCCTTGCAGAGAGATGGATGACTCGGAGAGAAGCAGACTATTTAGGACCGGACAGTCTAGACCCGGGGTCTCCAACCTACGATGAACTGAATAATTATTTCATTATATATCACAATATAATAATAATAGAAATAAAGTACACAATAAATGTAATGTGCTTAAATCATTCCGAAACCATCCCCACGATCCATGGAAAAACTGTCTTCCATGAAAACGGTCCCTGGAGCCAAAAAGGTTAGGGACCGCTGGTAGACCTTTGGGGGTGATGGACCCCTTGAGAACAGAATGAAATGTATAAAACCTGTCCCCAGAAAAATGCACACATGAGAAAATTTTGCATATACTTCAGAGAGTTCGTGGAAACCCAGCGTCAAGAACCCAGGTTAAGGCAGAACGTGGGGCCGTCTCCACTCCCACGCACAAAAGGTATCGCTACCAGGAGAGGGAAGAGTGAGCAGCCTTTCAGCATCATCTCGCTCCCCTCCCCGCAGGCTCAGACAGGCCGCTGGTCCTGGGCTGCCAGTTGCTATGGAAACCTAGAAGGGCAGCTTCAGGTGAGATAAGCCTCCCGGGTGCTCAAATCAAAATGCGGGGGGATGGACAGCTTTGCCATCAGGGTACACGGGGCCTTGGGAGCATGTCACAATTCCGAATTCTCTAGATTGAGTCCTCTGCCCTTGCCTGTCACCCTCTAGATGTTCCCAAATCACATCCCTGCCTATCAAAAACCCAATTCAATAACTCCTAGTACCAAAAAGGACACGCTCCCCACCATCCTCCGAGTCCAGACTGAGTGAGTGGGTCCTCCTCCCACAGCCGCCTCATTCCCCACAGCCCACGGACACGCCCGCACCCCGGCCGTCAAGATCACGGACTCGCTCGCTCTCACCCACCTCCCAGGCTGACAGACACTGGCCCTTTCTAGCGCTCTCTCAGAAGCGCCGGCCTCCGGCCCCGGCGCCCTCCTCCCTCCACGCCCCCTCCAGCCCTGCCGCTACCGCCGCCGCTGCCCCTCCCCCTCCCGGCTCCCAGCTCCGGCTTCGCACAGTCGGGAAGCCGAGCCGCCGGCGGGCAGCGGGGTGCGCTGCCCGCCTCAGGCCGCCGGACGCCCGGCCCGCGGCGCTGCGTCCCCCGGGGCAACGAATGGCCTGGCGAGGCCCGGCCGGGGCCTGGAGGCAGGGCGGGCTCGGGGCCCCACGCCGGGCGCCCCCGGTCCCAGCCCCTCACCGCCAGCTCCTGCTTCCGCTTCACGAGCTCCGCCAGCTCCCGCCGGGTGTCCGGGATCTGCGGCGGGGCCGCCTTGTTGTGCATCGCCATGTTGGGCTGAGGCGGGCGGCAGCACGAAGCTGGGGGCGGTCCCTGCGCGCCGCCGCCCGCCAGGGGGCGACTGGCCTCACTGCGCCTGCGCGCGCGGCTTCCGGAGGGGTGTCCTGCACGGCGCCTGTGCATCCAGAGCTGGAGTCCCTGGTGATGGGGCTGCTGCTTTTGGTACTTTTCGCCTATCTGCCCCTCGGTTGGCCGCTGTGCTTTATATACACCACACGTTCACCGCGTCCAAAGACAAGCTCGTCCTTAAGCCTCCCACGTCTCCTGTGTGCCCCACTTTAGCCCACCTCAGTGAATGACTTTCCCTATCCACCCAATTGCCCAAGTCAGAAACCTGGTTTTATCGTTCTCATTGTCCACCAGGATTAAAATCTATTCAAAATCAAGTAAGTCCTGCGGACTCGACTCCGAAACAGCTCCCAAATCCATTTGCTTGTATCAGCTCCCCTCTGCCACCTCCCTAGTTTATTCAGGCCCTCCCTATTTTGGGCTACATTATTCCAACAGCCTCCTTATTTTCACCCTTAGCCCCATTTAATCCTTTATCCGCAATGGTACCAGAATTATCTTCTAAAAACAAATGTGCTATCGCTCCCCCATTAAAAACCCTTTCAGGCCGGGCGCTGTGGCTCACGCCTGTAATCCCAGCACTCTGGGAGGCCGAGGCGGGCGGATTGCTCAAGGTCAGGAGTTCAAAACCAGCCTGAGCGAGACCCCGTCTCTACCATAAAAATAGAAAGAAATTAATTGGCCAACTAATATATATAAAATCAGCCGGGCATGGTGGCTTGTGCCTGTAGTCCCAGCTACTCGGGAGGCTGAGGCAGGAGGATAGCTTGAGCCCAGGAGTTTGAGGTTGCTGTGAACTAGGCTGACACCACGGCACTCACTCTAGCCTAGGCAAGAAAGCGAGACTCTGTCTCAAAAAAAAAAAAAAAAAACCCTTTCAGTGGCTTCCCATTGCCCATTAGAGAGACAAGTATGTGTAGGGGTTAAGGGCACAAACTGGAGGCAGAACTACCTGTTGGAAATCCTACCTCTGCATTGATAAAATGTGCCACCTGGGGCAAGTAACTAGATTTCACTTGTCTCAACTCCCTCATCTGTAAAGTGAAAGTAATAATAGAATCTACCTAATACAGTTGCTGTGAGGAGGAAATCATCTAATATACGTACTGCTGACTAAGTCCATAGCTTTTATCTCTAAGAGCAATGTGTAAAATGGTGTTTTCACTAGGCTCCTGCTTACTTCTTCAGCCTCAGCTCTCCAATTTTCAGTGTTCTCTAATTTCACTGTCATAACTTTAGGTGGGATTTTTTTTCTTTTGATCCACAGCCTTCATTAGATTACCTATATGGGCAAATAGAGTTTAGTCATATGTACTGGTTTCAATTTTGTCAGAAATATAATTTGGATCCAACTGTCTTTTATAAACTAGTGTATTACATGATTTGAAAATGATCCAGACATTTAATGACTAAAATTCTAAAAAGAAAGCTGTAAGATATTTATGTGTGTATATGTGTCTAGATTTTTTTATGTATACGTAAATGTATTATATAGGTGTACATGGTAAAACCTGGCAAAATCAGCCAGAAATCTCTTAAGAAATTCTATTTAGATAGATGCTCATATAAAATATATAATAATTAACCAAAGTGCCTGTTAGTTCACATGACTTTAGTAAATCTTTAATAAATAAGCCGGTTTTAAAATTGCTAATTAAATAAAAATAGAAATGTCTTCAGAACTGTCAGCAGACATGTTTGCCAGGATTTACTAGTCAGTTTTATATTTGTCTCTGATATATAGTTTAAGGTGTCGTGTCAGGGTTTAACATGAAGGTTATAAAACTATACACCCAGCCTAAAACAAAATGATCTTTGTATAATTTTTGGATAAGACTAATTTAATGTTGGTTTAATGAAAACAGCTGTATCTTCTAAGTTACTGGCAAAATACCCACATATTTAACTTTAAGGTTCCTACTTAGGTGAACACCTTATATTTACAGGTTATAGATATGGTTAATAGAAAACTAACTTGAAATGATGACTAGCTTTGTCTACTATCTCAGTTATCATAAGTAATCGAAGTAAACTGTTAAAAAATAAATAAGTTAGGTACATGTAAATAGAATAGGCATCTATAAATGCACTTTTTATGTAATTTGAAATCTAAAGTTATGTTAAATAATAGTCGTTGGGCATTGTGGTGTTCACCTATAGTCCCAGCTACTCCAGAGGCTGAGCAGGAGGATCGCTTGGGCCCAGGAGTTTGAGATAGCAGTAAGCTATGATCACACCACTGCACTCTAACCCAGGCAACAGAGCAAGACCCTGCCTCAAAAAAAAATGAAAAACATTCGGGTGCAAATGTCTTTATAATAGAATGTCTTATGCTCTTTGGGGTAGATGCCTAAAAATGCTATTGCTGGGTAGAATGGTATTTCTATTTTTAGCTCTTTGAGGTATCTCCAAATTCTTTTCCACAAAGGCTGCACTAATTTGCAGTCCCACCAGCAGTGTAAAAGTGTTCCTGTCTCTCCATATCCTCACCAGCTTTTGTTGTTTTGGGATTTCTTGATACAGGCCAATCTCACTGGGGTTAGATCATATCTCATGTAGTTTTGATTTGCATTTCTACATATATAATATGCTGAAATAAAAAAAAGAGAGAAAAAATTAAATAATAGATTCTCATTAAATGTCTGGATAATTTCCAAATAAATTTTAACAAGAAACTGAAACAAATTGAACATAAATAAATTTGTTCTTGGCTTAATTTTATAGGAAGACTAAATACATTTAATTAATATAAGCCTATTAATATACATAAAATTATGTATATTAACATTTTTAAAATTATAAAATGGTTCTCATCTATAAAATACTGATATGTGACAATTTAAGATTTCTTGCATCCTAGATTTTCACTAAAAAATTTAATGTTACTAAGAGTTCAAAATGCTAATATATATGTAATTCTGTATATAAAATGTGTCCCCCCCAAAATAAGTTGTGTTTTTAACTTTAAAAAATCATTACAAAGGCATAAAATCTGTTGTTTAAAAAAGAATAATTTTGCCTAATTTGGAGGTTATTTAAAGGTTGTTTCAAAATATGGAACAAGATAGAAACGAACCAAAAAGTAGGAGAGATATGAAGAAAGTTACGGATATGAAGATATATTTTTGGTCAGGAAGGCTAAAAAGAAAAATGAATAATTTTATGAGAAATAATCTTGTGTGAATTTTTGTCTAAATACAAAATGACTGGTTATTTAAGATGTACAGAACAAAGTAGAAAGTTCAACAATGTTGTCAGTGGTCTAAGTCATGATAAGGTTTATGGAAAAATTTATGAAAAACATTTTGCATGTGATTAAGTCAGCTATAATAAGAAAATTATTTGTAAGTTTTCTAAAGATGTGAGGTTTGACAATGAGTGAGGTGTGCAATGTTTGAGGGATGGTCATGCTTGAAGCTCTGACTCGAGGGGGTAGTGGGGGAATGGGCAATATACGTAACCTTAACATTTGTACCCCCATAATATGCTGAAAAAAAAAAAAAGATGTGAGGTTTGAGCTGGGTCCCATGATACATGCCTGTAATCCCAACTACTTGGGAGGCTGAGGCCAGGGGTTCAAGACCAGCCTGAGCAATGTAGCCAGACCTCAACCCTGACAAAAAAGATAAGAGCTTTGGCCGGGCGCTGTGGCTCACGCCTGTAATCCTAGCTCTTGGGAGGCCGAGGCGGGCGGATTGCTCAAGGTCAGGAGTTCAAAACCAGCCTGAGCAAGAGCAAGACCCCGTCTCTACTATAAACAGAAAGAAATTAATTGGCCAACTGATATATATATAAAAAAAATTAGCCGGGCATAGTGGCACATGCCTGTAGTCCCAGCTACTCGGGAGGCTGAGGCAGAAGGATCACTCGAGCCCAGGAGTTTGAGGTTGCTGTGAGCTAGGCTGACGCCACGGCACTCACTCTAGCCTGGACAACAAAGTGAGACTCTGTCTCAAAAAAAAAAAAAAAGATAAGAGCTTTGATATTAAAAATGCATTTTAAAAAACTAAAAATATTTGGTCCCCTATGTTAGAACAAGGTTTTCTTAAAGTATTGATTTGCTGTTAGTAAAATTGCAAGAGGTTTTTGTTTTTTTGGTTTTTAAGAAAAGGTCTAGCTCTGGTGCCCAGGGTTGAAATACAGTAGTGTGATTACAGCTCACTGCAACTTTCAACCCCCAGGCACAAGCTATCCTCCTGGCTCAGCCTCTTGAGTAGATGGGACTATAAGCACGTACCACAAAACCAAGCTAATTTTAAAAAATTGTTTTGTAGAGATGGATCCTGCTGTGTTGCCCAGGCTGGTCTTCAACTCCTGGGCTAAAGTGATCTTCCTACCTCAGCCTCCAGAAAGTGGTGAGATTACGATTTTTTTGAGACAAAATCTCACTCTGTCCTGTCACCTGGGCTAGCGTGCAGTGGCATCATCATTCACTCACTGCAACCTCAAACTCCTAGGCTCAAGTGATCCTCCTGCCTCAGCCTCCTGAGTGGTTGGGATTACAGGAATTAGCCACCACGCCAGGCCAATATTTTATGTTTAATAGGGACAGGGGTCTCACTCTTGCTCAGGCTGGTCTCAAAACTCCTGACCTCAAGCAATCCTCCTGCCTCAGCCTCCCATGGTGTTAGGATTTCAGGCGTGAGCCGCCACACCTGGCCAACAAGTGATTTTTAATTCTGAAATCTGGTTCTTTAAAAGCCATTTTCTAACCTAGACAGTTTCGCTTGTTCTTTAGATCTAATTAATTTCCCTAGTTTCAGATTGGAAATGCTGTCTTTTTCATTCAGACTAGTAGCTTCATTTCTTGAAGAAAACAAAAATTTTTTTTCAAGAGACCAGTCTTGCTCTGTTGCCCAGGCTGGAGTGCAGTGGCGTGATCATACCTCACTGTAGCCTCAATCTCCTGGGCTCAAGCCATCTTCCTGGCTCAGTCTCCTGAGTAGTTGGGATTACAGGCATGAGCCACCACACCTGGCTAATTTTTTATATTTTTAGTAGACACGGGGCTTTTGCTCTTGCTCAGGCTGGTCTCAAACTCCTGGCCTCAAGCAATCCTCCCAAATTGGCCTTCAAGGTGTTAGAATTACAGGCGTGAGCCACTGCACCCAGCCCAGACTGGTCTTAAACTCTTGGGCTGAAGCAATCCTTCTGCCCCAGCCTCTGGAGTAGCTGGGACTATAGCCACCATGCTGAGCTATTGCTCCAGAATTCTAAATCACAGCTGTAAATCAACTGCATAAACTAATGCAACTGTTGATTGGATTAACTCGCTTTAGAGTAAGCGTGAACAAATCAACTGTCTTTTAAAATTGTTTCCCATTTGATAAATATACTGAAAACTTTACCCAGGAGACCAAATGAAGCTTTAAATTCCAAAGCTTTAATTTAAATTAAGTAGCCTTTTCACTTGACATAAACTCACATACCCAGGAACATGTGGGCTTAGAACATTATTTCACAAGCATTGCTGGTGTGTTGTGTGCACATTTAGATTCCAATTAACATGACATCATTTTGTTCCTCAGATGCACAACTCATGTCCATAATGGGAAGAATGTTAAAAAATATAACCACCTGTGCAATGTATCAAATGATAATCAACCTGAAATATATACTTAAATTCTAAGCTTTTTCAAACCAAGCTATATTGTATATTGGCATACTTAATACAATTTAAAAAACTGTTTAAAAATCTTCTAGTATCTCAATTGATTATTTCTGCTTTAGCTTATCACCAGGACACAATAAAGGTATTTGAAAGCTACATCACATCACCAGTTGCACCTAATGAGCTGTCCTTTGTCAATATTAGAATGAGGAAACCAGGATACATCTAGGAAGAGACTCCAGGGGAAAAATCTGAAGATTCTGTCCCATACCTCTACAGAACTGTGGACCACCATAGAGGACTTAGGGGTATGGCTCAGAAACAAAGGGCTGTTTTGATTTTGACAACAATGACTTGTGGCAAACAAGCCACAGTGAAGAAAAGGTAATGACGAAGGTGCAAATAGCTAAGATGAGCACGAGTTCCTAATCAGAATGCATTAATTCAAGAAGAAAGCTTTAGCATTATGTCAACTTCACATGAGAAGTCTGCTGGTGATATCTCTCCTTGGAGATGAGTAGTATCTTTGCTTTGATGTTCTTTCTTCAAAAAGAGTGGGAAGGCGAAAACAAAAACAAAAGAACACCTCTCCAGATGTGTAGCATGAAAAATCTCTTAATCCAGGAAGCTATTCCACCACTAAAGCAAAAGTTAACTATACAGTCAGGGCCTCTAGCACAATGCCCACCAAGATGGTGTTTGAGGCAAAGACCAAGGCTACCAGGAAGCAGTACTAGCAGCACAGACTGATCAAGGAGGCCCTGGAATGAAATACCAGACTAGTGTCTAATCCCAGAAGAGAGAAAACCATCAGTCTGGATCAAGTAAAAATTCATCAAAATAAAATCTTCTTAGACATGCACATACGTAATATGTGATCAATGGCACATATCAAAGTGAGGAAAATAGCAATTATGGTAGCCAATGTAGAATACACCCTTCATCTTTTCATGTAATGATCTTATTAAGCGTTCATTCTTCAAACAGGATCTTTTAATTATTTTGAATGAAAATTCGCTGCCCCTCCCCACACTGGCCAACCTTTAGCCCAGAGCATACAGGTATGTGAGATCATAATGTAAAAACAATTGAAAGGAAGATAATCTAATTTAATAGCATCAGAAGTTTCAATCCAAAGGGAACAGTCAGTAGCAGTACTGATTGAGTTGTATCATCTCCTTTCTCTCCAACCCCCCCCCATCACCACCTGAAGATGAAATAGCAGGACTGGTATCTCACTGATGTGAAGGCCAACTGCATATGACTTGTCCCACAATACCCCATATAGTTATCTATTTTTATCTTAAAAATACTGATATACAAAGTCCCCTTTAGCAGCAAACAGACCTATGAAAACAAGGTCTTCTATGCTAGGAAAGTATTACTCTTTGAAATGGGGCTATATTTACAAATTTTATTTTCTATCTCAAAAATACATATAAATGAAAACCTGCTCTTAAAATGCAGGGAGACCTTTGCCTAACATTGTCATATGAAAATCAGTATCAGCTCTTTAACACACAATTTATATATGTACATACATACACACTATATGTAAGTAGTGAATACTTTTCTACTTACACATATTCCTCTGGTGGAAAATTAGGAAACATGGGTAATTCCCTTGCTTTCTAGCCTTGGGAAGGTAAATACAACCTCTCTGAACAATTTTTTTAAAGATGAAATGTTTAGAAATATGTAAACAAAACAACTTCCTTTAGACATATACACATGTTGTTAGAATAACATGAGGACCCTGCCACATAAGTGACAGTGTATTTCTCAAAGAAAAAAGGAGATAACATTTGAGTAAAAATACAAAACTGAAGAACAGTTAATATGATCAAAATTGTTATGTACATGCTCCATGGAGAAATCAGGGATTCTCTCGTGGAGATCAGATCCACAACCCATTTCACTCTTCCGTGACATTAAATCAGCACCCGTTGGTAGTTGCCATGATCCTTCTGTGTAGTCTGTAGGCTTAAGCAGGTGCTTTAAAGCATCTGTTTAAGTTAAATAGTCAATAATGTTTATTGGCTGCAGTAAATTCCCACCCCCAAAACCTAAGTGCAAAATCAACTTATATGACTCAAGAGCTCAACCAGGTCAAAGCTTTGGTATATAGAGGAGACTGTTTTGGTGATAACCAAAGCTTAGTAAGATTCTCTGCTCAGGGGTTTGCCCCCAAAACAAACACACCTGGTCCACAAAGCTTAAACAACTATATAAATAAAGTTAACTGTACAAAGAGAACAAGCCATAATTCCCCCTTAACCAAGCGTTTACAGTTTCCTAGGCAGCAGTTCTGAAAGGACCAACTAAAGCCACAACACTTCTATTAAAACATGGATGTGCTATAATTGGTGAGACTGTTCTGAAAACAAATGCCCCCAGGCATGTGGCTGATGTGCCCCAGAAAAAGGTTCAACAAAACATAAATCAGTGTTCATAAACTGTAACATAAGCTGGTCAGCAACAGAGGAAAGACTTAAGGCATTAAGAGGCATTACAGAGAGCCCCACAGTGCTCTCTGAGTCAAAGCCTTCCAAGAAAAAAAAGGTGTCTCAATAATTTAGGTTCTTAGTTTTGCTAGCTGTCAGACACTTCTTCCTCCTCTTCATCATCCTCATCTTCTTTCCTGTCTATTTCAGAAGTGTCTGATGACTCATGGAGCAAGACATATTCTCTGCTACTGAACCCAAACTTGAGTACGTCCTTTTCTTTAAGTTCATAGTATCTCTGAGGCTCAATACGTTTGTTGTTTAAGAAGGTTCCATTGCCTGAGCCAAGGTCAATGATGTATGGTTTCACCCTTCGACCAACTGTGCCATCAGCACGAGTATATTCCACAAGCCTAGGAGAGAAAAAAGAGAAACCTGTAAGCAAAACCCTGACTTGGATCACCCAGTTTCTCTAAAGCTCTGTGCTAAGACAGCTTAAGTAAATAACCTGGCGTGAACACAGTCCAAGTTAAAACTCTAGGAAATCAAGAATTCAAGGGGAAAACTTGAATTTCCCTTCCCTGGGTAGGGAAATTGGGAGTTTAAAATACACTTAATAGAAAAGGTGAGAACTGGTTGCTGAGGGATAGGGGGAGATGAGAAGATGGAAATGTACAATCCAAAGCCTCTTGCTGTGGTTAAGAAAATACATTTTTTTGCTGTTGTTTATAATCAATCCAATGCTTCTTTCACCACTATTTCAATATATCTTAGCTCCTGTCCAAATATGAAAAACAGTGGACTTGGACTTCAGAGTCAAGGGAGCTATATATTTGAGCCAGAATTCTACCATGGTGATCATTTATTAGCCAAGTCACTTGGTGTTAAGTGAGCTTCAGTTTTCTGTCAAATGGGGATATTAATACCTGTCCTACCCTCCTCACAGGATTGTTAATGAGAATCTAATGTAACAGATGTACCATACAAGCTATCAAGATCCAGATTCAGCTAACACAAATGACAGGCATTTTCAGTTACATTTCCACTTAACCCTCATAATAGCCTCATGAAGCAGGTATAAACCGAGGCCCAGAGAGTGGCTTGTCCCAAGGTTAGGTGGCAGTGGCTAGATTCAAAATCTGGGTTTCTCACACGAAGTTTAATGCTCCCATACAAATGTAAGCAATTATTCAAAAGGCATACTCGTTAGAACTAGCATTTTATGTGAGGGGCATGGGATTCTTCTGCATAAACATGTACGCAAATCTTGGTGATCCTGACTGAGAAATTCAGCTTGTGCTCACATTTTAGTTTCTTCCCCCATATATATATACATACCGATACTGAAAGACCGCATGCTGCTTTGAACAAGATGGATGATCAATTGGAATGTCTGCAATGCGGCGGTGTCGACCCAGGAGGTAAGCACTTTGTCGATGTATGTACATTATTGGAAGCACCTCATCATTTTTAAACGGGTAGAGACGCCACCGTTTTTTGGGGATACGTGCTTCTGGGGGCTCACTATATTTAATGACTACACCTCGGAAGGTGTTGGTGTCCTCAAGAAGTGCCCCAGAAAGTTCAAAGCTTGGTTTTTCTTTAGCGGGCACTTCTTTTTCTTTGTTGTTTCCACCAGGCCGAGGAACCAACTCCTGAGACTCATTACCACTGCCACTAACTTCGTCCTTCTGGCGATGCTCCCGACGCCTAGCATTATAAAACTCTCGCTCTTCTTCTTGAGCCTGCAGTTTCTGAATGTCTCGATCCCGTCCCTGAGCCTGCCCACTGCCAGGCCTCTCATTAGATTTTCTCCTTTGGTGGGAATAGCCCCGGTGTCTGTCTCGGTCACTGTTCCTAGCTCTCCTGTGTTCCTGCTCTGATGGTTCCCGGTACTGCCGATCCTCACGTCCTCTCCGGGGATGATCCTCACGTTCCTGAAATTCAAACAGACTCAGTAAATTAAAGGCAGTGCACAGTCTATGAATAAGCTGCACTCAAAAAGTCATTTGTAATAGGCACTTTGCCCGTTAGAATAAAATGTCCCACACAAATAAGACTATCTGTGGTGGTTATGTTCCCTTGCAAGGACACAAAGACAATATACCATGCCGCTACTCAACTATAATCCCAACAGCAGATGCCCATGTCCAGAGCCCTAAAAAAAAAAGGAGATTATTTGGCATGGAAAGGAGAAGAAAAAATAATCCTCTCCCTTTCAAACAAAGGCAAATTTACAAAGAAGAGTGTACAGAAAACAGAATTAACAAAGAGTTAGTTAAGTAGTCATGTACAAGATATGTAAAGAAAAAAGCTAGCTTTCTCTTCTGCCAAAAATGAAAATATAATAGTAATTCGACAAGATCTTACTTTGGCTAGGGGCAGTGGCTCACCCTGTAATCTCAGTACTTTGTGAGGCTGAAGTGGAGGACTACTTGAGGCCAAGAGTTCAAGACCAGCCTGAGCAACACAGCAAGACCCTATCTCTACAAAAACACAATTCAAAAAAATTAGCCAGGAATGGGTGGTGGTGCGTGCCTATAGTCCCAACTATTCAGAGGGCTGAGGCGGAAGGATTCCAGAGACCCTATCTCTTTACTCCATGTGATGTAAATTACAAATAAACTGCAAAGGGAAAAAACAGAGAGAGAACAGGAATCTACAGACAAAAGAGGCTTAAAAGAAGCATTGACACAATGTATACATCTTATTTTGATCCTGATTTGAACCGATAAATTTATACAAAAATTACAAGCCACCATACAAAATAAATATGAACACTGACTAGACATTTAATGATGTTATGGAATTATTTAAATATTTAGGTGATCTCATACCCATTAGGATGCCTACTATCAAAAAACAGAAAATGGCTGGGCTCGGTGGCTCACGCCTGTAATCCTAGCACTCTGGGAGGCCGAGGCGGGCAGATTGCTCGAGGTCAGGAGTTCGAAACCAGCCTGAGCAAGAGCGAGACCCCATCTCTACCATAAATAGAAAGAAATTAATTGGCCAACTAATATATATAGAAAAAATTAGCCGGGCATGGTGGCGTATGCCTGTAGTCCCAGCTACTCGGGAGGCTGAGGCAGGAGGATTGCTTGAGCCCCGGAGTTTAAGGTTGCTGTGAGCTAGGCTGACGCCATGGCACTCACTCTAGCCTGGGCAACAAAGTGAGACTCTGTCTCAAAAAAAAAAAAAAAAAAAAACCAAAAAAAAAAAAAAAAAAAAACCACAAAAACAAACAAAAAAAACCCCCAGAAAATAACAAGTTTTGGTGAGGATGTGGAGAAACTGGAACTCTTGTACACTGTTGGTGGAAATTTAAATGGTACGGCTAATTTGGAAAACAATATGGTGGGTCCTCAAAAAATAAAAAAATAGAATTACCATATGATCTAGCGATCTCTCTTCTGGTATATATATCTTCAAAAGAATGGAAGCAGGGTCTTAAAGAGATATGTGTACACGTACCATGTTCATAGCAGCATTCACAACAGCCTAAAAGTGGATGCACTGTGACCAAGACCTCATCCCAAGGCCTTCTACCTGCCATAAACAGGAGTCAAGTGGGGGCCTGTTAGCTTTGAGTAAGACTCAATTTCTCTAGACTTCCTAGCTTCCAAAAGACAAGATCAAGAGGGAGCCTCAGACATCCACCCTTCATAGCCCCAAACACAAGACTGCTACTGCTATCTGCCTCCAGTTCACCAGGACTAATCTCATTACACCCTTTATCCCAGATTAAGAGTCACTAGGAGAAGCCACAGACTCCTTCCTGGTCATCACACCCGCTTCCCTGGTATTCTAATCCCCATGAGGTTTTGAACATCCAGTATCTGTCTCCAAAGTCCAACATTCTTCAACTCCTGAACCATTGTACTAAGCCCCCTGGAACTGAAAACTCAGAAAACCTACACCCTTAACATTTCCTCTGACAGTTCCCTTCCCCTTTTGCTCTAACAGAACCCTACCTCTGCCTTGAGGAAGTGCTTCCCCAAAGCTCTCTCAAATGGTAGCTGTTCTTGTCTTCCCACCCCGACCCTCAATCTCTGGACATAGATATAAAGCAAATGTTCTCCTTGCTTCTTGCTGCCAATTCTAGAACACTCCCAACCTCTCATTTCTACCTAAAAACCCTCAGCTCCGAATCTCACACAAGACCATTATCAACACCACTCTTACTGTTACTGTCATCTATTAACCCTCAAATCATTTTCCCTCATTTCTTACTACCCTTCTTACCCTTTCACTTCTAGCTCAAGTCACTTTCTGACGTCATTCTTGGTGATTTTGGTTACACACACACAGGTTTTCCAACATGCTGGTCTCTCTGTTCTCTGAGTTCCTCTCTCCCAATGCCTTCACTTCAATACCACCCACTCTCTGTTATACACAGACCTTTTTGTTTCTAACAACTAACCTCACTATAATTGCAATTTCAAGAAATCCTTTTCCTGGCTACCATTCATCTTTCTAGCTCACATTTTACCCCCAAATCCAACAATCCTTATCCCAGTAAGACAGCCAATCCTTTGATCCTACTACCTGTGTACAGTCCCTCACCCTGATAGCCTCTCACCACTTCTTGTCTAGCTTAAAACATGACTGTCACACTAGAAAAAAAAATTTCCATGGGGCCAGTGTTTTATTATGAAAATAGAATAAAAACTTCAAAAACAAAAGGATCCTAATTTAATGAAAAATTTGTTATTGTTTTCTGTTCATGAGTTATATGCAACCTGAAAAACAGTTCACACGGTTCCCAAGGTGAAGGGCCATGAAGCTTCACGAGGCCCGGCCTCAAAACTAGCGTGAGTTAAAAACAACTCACAGGGCAGTTAATTTGTTAAGTTCCATAGTCAAGCAGTATGATTATTCCTTGCACACACATTCAAATCCTTTGTCTCTGTGCCATTTTGTTGCACTTTCCTGGCAGAACCACAACCAGCACCAACAGATGAATTGAACATGGTTAGAAGAAAATACAAACCATTCTGACTTAGATGCATGATCCCATGACCTCTTTTTTTTTTTTTTTTTTTTTTTTCTCACTTTGTTGCCCAGGCTAGAGTGAGTGCCGTGGCGTCAGCCTAGCTCACAGCAACCTCAAACTCCTGGGCTCAAGCCATCCTGCTGCCTCAGCCTCCTGAGTAGCTAGGACTACAGGCATGCACCACCATGCCCAGCTAATTTTTTATATATATATTAGTTGGCCAATTAATTTCTTTCTATTTATAGTAGAGACGGGGTCTCACTCAGGCTGGTTTCAAACTCCTGACCTGGAGCAATCTACCCACCTCGGCCTCCCAGAGTGCTAGGATTACAGGCGTGAGCCACCTCGCCCCACCGATCCCATGACTTCTTAGGGACACCCAGGAATTACCCTACAGTTCCTCGATCTATTCACTCTCCCAGAAGACTGTTTCACTCCTTCTCTCTCCTCAATCTCCAACATGCTCTTCCCGTCCCTTCCTCACTTACTGAGAAACAATCTTTGACAACTACCCACCCATTAGTATCTACACCCATATCCTCTGCCTTCCCTTCCTGGGATCATAAATGAACTATTTATGCTGCTATCTAAAGTTAACTCCTTACAAGTCAGAATCTGCTTATAAAAAAAAAAAAAAAAAAAAATAAAGTTAACTCCTACACTTGGGAGCTTGATCTCATCCCGTCTCACCAAGACTATTACTCCAGCAGCAGTACCGTCTCGACTGGATCACTACCACCAGCATAGGAATATGCTCTTCTCTAGACTCCATTTCCACCCCATTTTTTCACTCCTCTTTGCAGTTATTCTCCTCAAAGGGGGCCTGGTGTTGTGGCTCATGCCTGTAATCCTAGCATTTTGGGAGGCCGAGGTAGGAGGATGGCTTGCGCCCAGGAGTTCAATACTAGCCTGGGCAATATAGCAAAACCCAATCTCTACAAAAAGTTGTCCAAGTAACAGAGACTCCATCTTGAAAAACAAAAAAGTGTGTTGTTTTTTAAAAATCAGTTCCCAATTCCTCTCCACTGTCTTCTCTTCAACCCTTCTAATCAGGTTTCACCCTTACTACTCCACTAAAATCAGTGGTTAAAATTATCAATGACCTCCACATTGCTAAATCCAATGGCCAATTCTCAGTCTTCGTTTTACTTAACTACCAACAGCATCTATCACTCTGCCCTCAACACACTTCCTTCCTGTGGCTCCAAAGTTACTCTTGCTTTTCTTCCTTTCCAGCCCCCTTTGCTGATAATGCTGCCACCATTTCTTTACACTAAACCACCCCAGAATTCAGTCCTTGGTCGGCTGGTCATCTCTACACTCATTTCCTTTGTAATCTCATCTAATCCTAATCCTTTATATACATCTACATACAGATGATTCCCAAATGTTTACCTCCAGCCCAGATGTCTCTAATTTCACTGTCCACTCAACATTTCCATTGGGATGTCTAACAGATGCCTCAAACATGACACATCTATAAAAGGTTGAACAGTGAACCCTAAAACTCATGTCCTTCCTAAAACCTCAGAATGTGACTTAATTTGGAAATAGGGTCATTGCAGATGTAATTAGTTAAGATAAGGTCATACTGTAGTGTGGGTCATTAATCCCATGTGACTAGTGCTCCTTTTTCATTTTTTCAAATTTCTATAGTTTTCTATTTTTATTTATTTAAATCATAAATTCTTTAAATTCTTTTTTTGTCCACAGATCACTGTTGATGTGCACCATGTGACTGGTGTTCTCTCTCTCTCCTTTTTTTTTTTGAGACAGAGTCTTACTCTGTTGCTCAGAGTAAGACTCTGTCTTACTAGAGTGCCATGGCATCAGCCTAGCTCACAACAACCTCGAACTCCTGAGCTCAAACAATCTATCTGCCTCGCCCTCCCAGAGTGCTAGGATTGCAAGCAAGAGCCACCATGCCCGGCCTGTGACTGGTGTTCTTAATAAGAGACACAGAAAGCCACATGATGACAGAGGCACAGATTCCATTATAGCAATTACCTCTGGCAACAAGGGAAGTGGAGGTTTTTTGTTGAGGTGGTACAATTTTGGGAATGAGAGGAGTAACCATAAACTACAAACACTATACTCTCAGTTTATATTTTATATACTTTTCTGTTATTATAATGAGCACTCAATCAATATATTTGTTTTCTGTTTTTTTTTTTTTTTTGAGATAAGGTCTTACTCTGTCGCCTGGGCTGGAGTGCAGTGGCATCATCATAGCTCACTGCAACCTCAAACTCCTGGGCTTAGGCGCTCCTTCTGCCCCAGCCTCCTGATTCAGCTAGGACTACAGGTGTACACCACCATGCCTGGCTAGTTTTTCTATTTTATTGTAGGGGTAGGGTCTCAGTCTTGCTCAAGCCGGTCTCAAACTCCTGATCTGAAGCAATCCTCCTGTCTTGGCCTCCCAGTTTGCAAGGATTACACGCTGAGCCACCAACAGCAAACTCCTGGGCTCAAGTAATCCTCCCGCCTCAGCTTCAAAAGTAGCTGGGACTACAGGTATGCGCCACCAAGCCCAGCTAATTTCTAAAAAAATTTTTAGTAGAGGTGGGATCTCATTATGTTACTCAGGCTGGTCCTGAACTCCTGGCCTCAAGCCATCCTCCCACCTCAGCCTCACAAAATGCTACAATTACAGGCATGAGCCACCCACACCTGGCCCAATGTATTTGTTTTGAAAATGGTGATTCAGAGGTAGAAAAGAGAATACAGCTGTCCCTCAGTATCCTTGGGAATGGCTCCAGGATCCCCAGAGGATAAAAATATCCAAAGATGCTCAAGTTCTTTATATATAACCATATGCCTTTCTCCAATTAAGGTAGTAGAAAGGTGGCCAATCTCTCAAATTCACAGAAAACACTATTTGCTTAATGCCAGTATTTCAACCTTCACTCCATAACAGAGTTTAAAACTGAACTTAACTCTCAAGATTTTATCTGCTCTCACTACTATTACTCAACAATAGTGCTTAAAGTTCTAGCCAGTGTAATAACAAAAGGAAATAAAATGCATATTTTATTGTAAGGAAGAAATAAAACTGTCCCTATCTGTAGATTATGATTGTCTATGTAGAAAATCCAAGTAATCTATAATTTAAAAAACCTCCTAGAATAAATGAGTTTAGCAAGAACACACGATGAAGATAAACATGCAAGGATCAATTATATTTCTACATACTAGTAATGAACATGTAATCATCGAAATTTAAAGTACCATTTATAGGCTGGACAGTGGCTAATGTCTGTAATCCTATTTACATTTACATTGGGAGGATGAGGTGAGAGGATGCCTTGGGGCCAGGAGTTTGAGACCAGCCTGGACAACATAATGAAACAGCATCTCTAATAAAAATTTTTAAAAAACTAGCTGGGTGTGGTGGTACATGCCTGTAGTCCCAGCTACTCCAGCAGAGTCTGAGGTGGGAGGATCCCCTGAGCCTAGGAGTTTGAAGCAGTGGTGAGCCATGATCATACCACTGAGCTCCAGCCTGGACAATAGAGCAAGACTCTGTATTAAAAAACAACCCCCCTAAAAAACATTTATAATTATTCAAAAAAGAGGAAATATCTAAATGTAATCTAACAAAATAAGTATAGGACTTGTATGCTGAAAACTATAAATGCTGATAAAATAAATCTAAGAAGGTCTAAATAAAAGGAGAGACAAATGGTATTCATGGATTTGAAGATTTAAATAAAAAAGTCATTCTTGCTCCAAAAATACCATTTTAAACACAATTCCTATCAAAATGCCAGCAAAAATTTATATAGACAAGACTGTTCTAAAATTTATATGGAACACCAAGGAACTAGAATATCTAAAGCAATTTTAAAAAAGAATACAGCAGGAGAAATCAGTCTATACAATTTCAAGACTTATACAGCTATAGTAATCAAGACTGTGTGGTACTGGCAGAATGACAGACTTGTCAATAAAGGGAACAAAATAGAGATCCCACAAACAGACCCACACATATATGCCCGTCTGATTTTTGACAATCAAGCAAAAGCAATTCAGTCTCAGTTTATATTTTACATACTGAGGAGGAGAAAGATGGCTTTTCAACAAACACTAATGCAAGTGGACATAGGCCAAAAAAAGGAACCTTGACCTAAGTCTCATACCTTATATCACAACAAACTGAAAACAGATAATGGACTTAAATGGTAAACTTAACCCTGTTAAGAGAATGAAAAGACAAGCTACAGACTAGGAGAAAAACTTGTAAACCACATATCCAAAAGGACTGTATGTATAATACACAAAGAGCTCTTAAAAACTGTACAGTAAACCAGCAAATAATCTAATTGGAAAATAAATATGGAGACATTTCACTTGAGAGATTATATACAGATGGCAAATAAGCACCTGAAAATATGTTCAACATCATTAGCCCCAGGAAAATGTAAATTAAAATCACAATGATATATCACTCACTACACAGCTATCAGACTGGCTAAAATAAAGCGGTAACACTTAACACTGGTGAAGATATAGAGAAACTGGATCACTCATACATTGCTGGTGGAATGGCAAATGGTATAGCCAGTGTTATGGACTACACTGTGCTCTCCAAAACTATTATGTTGAAGTCCCAAACCCAAATACCTCAGAATGTAACTGGTTTTGGAGATTAGATTTTTTTGTTGTTTTTGAGACAGACTTGCTCTGTTGCTGGGGGGCTAGAGTGCTGTGGCATCAGCCTAGCTCACGGCAACTTCAAACTCCTGGTCTCAAGCCTCAGCCTCCAAAGTAGCCGGGACTACAAGGGCAACCACCCCGCCCGGCTCATTTTTTTCTATTTTTAGTAGAGATGGGGTCTCACTCTTGCTCAGGCTGGTCTGAACTCCTGAGCTCAAAGGATCCTCCCACCTCCACCTTTCAGAGTGCTAGGATTACAGGCGCGAGCCACCACGCCCAGCCTGGAGATTAGGTTTTTAAAGAGTTGATTGAATTAAAATTAGGGTAGGGCCCTGGTCTACTATAGCTGGTGTACTTATAATAAGAGAAATAATAAGAGAAAAAGACACCAGGGATGCCTGTACACAGCAGAAAGATTATGTAAGGGCATAGTGAGAAGGCAGTCATCTGTAAGCCAAGGACAGAGGGTTTCTTTAGGAGAAACGAAACCTGCTGACACCTTAACCTTCGACTTCTAATGTTCACACAAAAACCTGTACACAAATATTTGTACAGCAGCTTTAAGTGTAATAGCCCAAACCAGAAAACAACCAAGATGTTCCTTAATGGGCAAATGGCCAAATCCATGGTATACCATGGATTACCACTTAGCAATAAAAAAGAATGAACTGCAGATGGATACAACAACCTGAATGAATCTCCAAGGAATTCTGAGTGAAAAAAGACAACCCCGAAGATTATATACTGCATGACTACATTTATGTAACATGCTTGAAATGACAAAATTATAGAAATGAAGAACAGATTAGAAGTTGCCAGGAGTTAAGGATAAGGTGGGAAAGAAGTGGGTTTCGCTATAAAAGGACATGAGGTATCCTTGTGGTGATGGAAATGTTTTGTATCTTGACCATATTAAGATCACTATTCTGATTGTGATATTGTACTACAATTCTGTTAGATGATGCCATTAGAAGAAACAGGGTAGAGATAATCTCCCTGTATTATTTCTGACAACTGCATGTGAAACAATAATTATCTCAAAATAAAAAGTTTAAAGAAAACAAGCAGAAAAAACAAAGACACACTCAGTTTTTAGGAACCATTGCAGGTACAGGTGGAACAGGCACTCAGGCTCTTTAGCTATTATGGGAAATGGCTCTTGATTTGGACCCAGCATCAAAACACCCCAACCCCATTTACCTGCTTCACTTTGACTGTCGAGTGGTGAGGACTTCGGCTTCTCTTACTCCGAGATTTGCTTCTTCTCCCTGAGGACTTGTTTTTCTTTTTGGCTGGGGACCTTATTCAGAGCATGGTACACAGGATTTTATCTCAATTTCCCTTCCCCCATATAAATTAGCTTCAAATATCAGGCTTACCAACTAACACAAACCCACATTTGTGAAGGTCTGTACTGACCACACTAAAGGAGCCAAGAGCATCACTTTCCTGTCCCTTAACGTCTCCCTTAAGTTACAGACCCACATATACAACTGCCTACTGCACCTTCTTACTTAGATAACATAACTCTTGATTCCCAACCGCTCAAAAACCTTTCCTCTCCCATGCCATCTTGCTACTTGGCACCACCACCACCCGGAAGTCACCACTCTTTTTCCCTTCACCAACAACCTCCTCCCCCAACATAATCCATCCATTCTGCGGCTCTACTTACTTCTTCCTCCCTATCCCATCTCATTCCTACCACACCCCCTTCTTGATGGTTATACTCCAACTACACTGTTTCTGCCCCATTCCAATCATCAGTCACTTAATTCTACTTCACTGTTCTTTGCACATGCTGTTTCCTCTGCCTGGATCTTTGAGAGGTTGAATTATTCAGCCTTTTAAAGTAGAGAACTATCATTCAGATCTCAGCTCAAATGGCACCTCTTTAGAGAGGCCTTCTCCCACTTCCCTCCAATCTCTCTTACTACCGTTTTAACCTATCCCTAATATTCATTGCTAATTGAATCTGTTTTATTTGCTTGTTATCGTCTGTCTTGGGGCTAGAGTATGACCAATTTCTTGAGGGTAAAGACCATCTATCTTGTTCACTCTTCCAACCCCAGTACCTAGAACGGTCTTTAGCATCTAATAGCACTTTGTAAAATTATGCTGAATGAATGCGAAAAACAAAAAATTTCTCCCCAGAGTTTCTGTCACACAGGTCACCTAGACCTCGATGTGGAAACGTTTAGGGCAGATAACTGGAAAGACAACACCCGCACTCCATTTGCGGGCAGATGGGGAGAAATCTCTTAACAGACGACCAGTGCTATCTGCTGGGCCACAGTCTGCAAAGTGCTGGGGCCACAAGAATGAAGAGGCATTAGGCTCTTAACACTCAGCTATAATGGAAGTGACGGGTACCAGAGTAAAAACTCTTTAACACAAGCACAACTGGGTCCCTCCCACCGCCTCAGTATAAAGTCTAAGCAGCTGCGATCGGTATTCAAAACGTGTTTCTGACGCCAACCCTGTCTTCCTTTCTGAACGAGCCCTACCTAAAAGCCATCCTGAGGCGTTTCCCACTTACCGGCTAACTCCTCGGGCTCGGTTTCCGCGGTGGCTGGGGCGGCCCGGCTCGCCGGCCGGCGGGGACGAGCTACCGCCAGAGCAGTCTGGACGGCGGTGGGCCGGAGGCGCGGGTTCCGGACTGAGCCGCTCCTGCTTCACCACCACCGCCGCCGCCGCCACCACGTCCTCGTCCCGGTGCCTTCGTCGGCTCCCCCGCTCCCGCTCACTCTTCACCGCCTCCATTCTGCGATGTATCTGAGCAAGAGAAAAGAGGTCCGTTGAGCTCCTCTCGCCAAAGGAAATGACGATTTGTCTTCCGGGCTTCCGCTTCCAGGGTGCTTGCTCTCCCAGAAATCTTTGCGTCAGCGAGGTTAAACACGTGACGACCCCCTAGTGGGCGGGCCCGCAGGGACCGGCTTGGGTGGCGGGCTTTTGACTTTTAAAAGCAAACTTCTAGGAAAAAACAACCCTGTTAGGGTTGTTTATTGCCACTGCTGGGGCTCAGAAAGCAAAATATGGCGCGTTAATATGCTGGCCTGAAGAAGCGTCACGGTCTCTCTGACCTTCCTCGTGCGCACACACCGTCTCTCCCAAAACTGCAGTTCTTTTATCTGCGGAGATCCAGCCCCACCGAAAGGAACAATTGTTTTTTTCTTCCCCTCCCAGAAACACCAGGAAAGTAACCAGAACACACCCTTTCACTGTCAAAGAGAACTAATTTATTTACAAGTTAATCACAAATTAATCTCTCTCCCCTCCATCCATTCATTTCTCTAGTAATCTTTTATTGCCCCTCAACAAAATTTGTTTTCCCTTCTCCCATAACCTTTGTTACCAGGATGGTATATAAGCTTCTGAACCCCTTTGGAAGCTGAGCAATCATTCTCCCGTGTCTAGACGTTAAATAAATTTGCATGCCTTTTCTCCAAGTAATCTGCCTTTTTAAAAAAATTTATTTGCGTCTTCAGGAGTTTAGGAATAATCTGCTTTTTTTTTTTTTTGAGATGATCCTTCAGCGAACTTTCAGAAGGTGAAAGGGGCTCCCTTGGCCCCTACACCACGTTATTAGTAATTAGGACACACGAAGACAACCTAAATGCCTAGCGGTAGGAAACTGTTTAGACAATTTGTGGATCTTATGTGGTCATTAGTAAAGCTATTTACAAACTCTAAATGGCAAATGGAAAGTCCCGACTTGTTAACTATAAAGCAAGATACAAATTTGCGCGCAAAACTGTGACTACATTTACGTTTGGAAATGCAAAAGGAAGAGGAGACGGAAATGCAATCGGAGATGGTAAAACCATGGGCAGATCATCAGCATCCCTTCCCCCATCTCCTGAACTTTCTGTTACGTTGCCATTTATCCACTTAATAAACAAAACAAAACAAAACAAAACAAAAAAAAACTCTTAAAAACCTGGGAACCCCAGATGCCTTCCTTTGGGAAGCGTCCCCAACCTTTCTCTGTTGGGTCAGATGATTCCTGTTTTTCAGGTGACAAAACTGAGACTTACCAAAGGTGATCTGCCGACTTCATTCAAATAGCGACCTGGACGCAGCCAGGGACTCGAACCCCGATTCTCTCTGTTTACAAGAGTACCGGGGACACCTGGTGGGCTGGAGGCCTGAGAAGCCAGCACAAGAGCTCTCGCGGAAGTTAACGCAGAACGAAACTCTTACGCTACTGGCCCCGCCCCACTCCGAAGCCCCGCCCAGGCCATGAGGAAGTGAGGGGAAGTTTCCATGGTGACGGCAAACAAGGCCCAGCTTGGAGGGGCCGCCGAAGCTGGGCTGCAATCCCTGCCGCCGCCATGATCCCCCCCGCGGACTCTCTGCTCAAGTACGACACCCCGGTGCTGGTGAGCCGGAACACCGAGAAACGGAGCCCCAAGGTAAGGACGGGGCTCAGGGGATGAGGAAGCCTGGAAGCTCCAATGGGGAAAGACAGACTCCTGCGTTGAGGGTTGGGAATCCCAAGGGACAGGGATTGCAGCTATGGGAGGGAATAAGGGAATTGAATCAGGAAAAGGGTGGGAAAGCGGTACAGGAAGCCCAAGATACTGAGTGTGACACCACCAGACAACAGATTTAGGAAGAGAAAGATGGTCACAGGGAGATGAGTGGGGCTCACTCTTCTTCATGGTAGCTGGGTCCAAGAATAATAGGTCAGGTAGTGATTTCCCCATCACTAGAGGTGGGAAAGCAGAGGCCTGAGCACTTGTGCCAGAAAGACCTGTTCAAGCATTGAGTTGGCATTGAGTTGGGGCCAGAGACTCTTCATGGCCTCCTTCAGTTCTGAGACATAATTTCTGCTGAGAAGACAGAGAAACTAGACTGGGAAAAGAGGAGTGGTGTGCAGGTAACCTGGAGCTGTCCCCAGGGCCAGGATGTGTGGAGCTGTGTGCCTGAATCATTTCCTGCCCTCACCTGTCCCTTCTCAGGCTCGGCCACTGAAAGTCAGCCCCCAACAGCCTGGACCCTCGAGTCCAGTCCCACAGCCACCAAAGGCCAAGCTCCCCTCAAGTATTTGTGTCCCAGATCCTACGAAGCAGGCAGAAGAAATCTTGAATGCCATCCTACCCCCAAGGTAACGGAGGAGGAGCAGTGGCTGGGAGAAGGTTTAGGCTTTGCATTCCAGAATTTGGGAGTGTGGGGAGAGGCACTCTGCCTCTGCTCCTGGCTGAGGTTTCCTCCCAATATTCCAGAGCTAGAGCTTAGTTATGGCTGGATCCTGGGAGGGTGGGCGACAGGAGACCTCTTCTCAATCTGCCTTCACCTCCTGAGCACTCTCACCCAATCTCAGGGCTTTTCTTACCATCTGTATGATGATGGCTCCCAAGTGTTTATTTCCAGCCTTATCCTCTCCCCTAAACTCCAGTCTTCTAATTCCTCATTCCCTTCAGTAAGATCTCTAACAGACATGGCATGACAAACTTGACATGTCCAAACAAAATCACAGGTTCTTCCTCCCTAACCTTCTCCTTTCTACCGGGGACTCAGGCCACCTTCCATTCCCTTTCATCTCTCGCGCAATGTGTCTATTCTTCGTCAAATTCTTTTGGTTTCACCTTCAAATTCTATACCAAATCCAACCACCTCTCACCACCTTCACCTCCACCATCTTGTGCCTAGTCACTGTTGGCCACCGCACTCCTGCCATGGCCTCCTAGCTGAAACCCTGCTTCCACTCTGCTCCTAAAATCTACAGAGCCCCTAAAGCATAAGTCAGGTCATGCAGTCTTCTGCCAGAAATCCCTTAATGGCTTCCCGTCTAACTCAGACTCAAATCCAAAGTCTCTGCAATGGCCTGGAAGATGTGGCATGGCCTGGCCTGTGAAACATCCCTGATTTTATCTCCTGTTATTCTCCTTGTTTGCTGTGCTGAAGCTACAGGAGCCTGGTTTACAGTTTCTGAAATGCCTCAATCACTCTCCCACCTCGGAGCCTTTACAGTTGTCCTTACAGCCAAGAAGGCTCTTCCCTTGCTATACTCCCGGTTCCCTTCATTTCTTCGCTCAGGTCTTGCTTAAATGGCATTTCCTCCAGGAGGCCTTCCTTGAGAATCCTGCATAAAAGAGCACCTCTCCCCAGCACAATCCCCTTTCCCGGCCTTTTTCTTCTGCAGCCACATCTATCACTAACATGCATTTTCATCTGTTTATGTAATACGCTGACAACACAGTTTTTAAGATCATGATGAAAAGGAGTAACAAAGAGAGACTGTGATCTCCTCTGAGATGGAGGTCAAGAGAGAGGGGTGATTTTTAAATTGATTCCCTCCCACCAACAGCATAGAGGTCCTATCCCCCATGGAAGTTCTGCCCTTAAGCTCCATCTTCTTGTGACTCCAAACCCTGGCCACCTCTGATGCAAGTTGCATTATGGGACCCATGCAGACACATACCTTCAAGAACCTCCCCAAGCCCATTACACACATTTGCCTCTTTCTGGTTTGCGCAAGGTTTATGTTTTCCTGTGTCTCCCACCCCGTAAGCCAGTGGGGAATTCCCACTGGGCTTTCTGTTCAGATCAAGCAACAACGACCATAAATCTGTCTTAAGCATGTTAGGAGGTAAGGAACAGTGGCTGGCCAGGCGCAGTGGTGGTTCACGCCTGTAATCCTAGCACTCTGGGAGGCTGAGGCGGGTGAGTTGCTCGAGGTCAGGAGTTCGAAACCAACCTGAGCAAGAGCAAGACCCCGTCTCTACTATAAATAGAAAGAAATTAATTGGCCAACTAATATATATAGAAAAAATTAGCCGGGCATGGTGGGGAGGCTGAGGCAGCAGGATCGCTTGAGCCCAGGAGTTTGAGGTTGCTGAGAGCTAGGCTGACGCCATGGCACTCACTCTAGCCTGGGCAACAAAGCGAGACTCTGTCTCAAAAAAAAAAAAAAAAAAAAAAAGGAACAGTGGGTGATGATTTCACAGAGGACCCTTAGAAACTGGAAATTGCCCACCTACCCATTCCCAAAGTAGGGTCCCTGTGGAGGCAGCAGAGTGGGTGTGGCTTTGGAGCCTCACACTCCAAGGGAGGGATGGAGGATTCAAAGCTGTCCCTCACTTCTGCTCAAGCAGAGAGCTCAAAGGGCCCACTCTGCTCATGCCCTACGGACCCTCTCACATCAATGGTTTTGCTCAGCTTGGCTGTGTCTGTGCCACAGGGAGTGGGTGGAAGACACTCAGCTATGGATCCAGCAGGTGTCCAGTACCCCCAGCACCAGGATGGACGTGGTGCACCTCCAGGAGCAATTGGACCTGAAGCTGCAGCAGCGGCAGGCCCGGGAAACAGGCATCTGCCCTGTGCGCAGGGAGCTCTACTCACAGTGTTTTGGTGAGTGGGCCAGGTGGGATTGAGTGCTACCCATCCTACTGCCTCCTTCCTTTCCCCCTCAACACAGACCCAAGCTCTCAGCACCCCTGAGCTGAAGCCCACCCCATGCTAGAATCATCTCTTCTCCTCCTGCCTAACCCAGCCAGCAACTGCTAGATGCCCCCTCCTCTCCCTCCCAGTCCCCCAGCTACCAGTCACTGTCTTCCTGACAATCTGGGCTCTTCGCCTCTTAGCAGAGATTTGGAGTAAGACAAGAACATCCATTTTAAATCTTTGTTTGTTCAAATATTTCTCTAATAAGCATATATTTATCTATTTATTTATTTTATTTTTTGAGACAAGGTCTCCCTTTGTCTCCCGGGTTAGAGTGCAGTGGCATCATCATACCTTACCACAACCTCAAACTCCTGGACTCAAATGATCCTCCTGCCTCAGCCTCCTGAGTAGCTGGGACTACAGGCCTGCACCATCATACTGGCTAATTTTTCTATTTTTTGTAGAGACAGGGTCTCCCTCTTGCTCAGGCTCATCTTGAACTCCTGACCTCAAGTGATCCTCCTGCCTTGGCCTCCCAAAGTGCTAGGATTACAGGGATGAGCCACCCTACCCAGGCAGCATATGCTAATTTTTTAATCAGAAAAATTAATATTCTATATTTATATAGAATACCCACCCATCAACATTTGGCCCTCAAGCCAGAAAAATATTGCAGGGTAACTTGTTGTTAGCATACACAGGGACTTGAGATCTGCCTTGAGTGCCAGTGTCAAATGACTGTCTCCCAGCCCAGTCTCACTGGCTCTTGTGGACTCTGATCTGCAAACCACCTCCAAATGCTCAGGCAGCGGCAGAGCCTGCAGGCTCCCGTGTCTGACTATGGTTTACCCTCTAGGTCAGCATTTTTGGAGGAGATAGGTGGGTGAGCTCTAGCCCCTGCTGTTTCTAGCCCCAAACTAGTCCAGCCAAGGGGGCACATAGGATTTCCCAGCTGCTTTAAAACAGCCACCATCTTTAAACTCAGAAAGTCAGATTTCTTTGACTACCAGTTTCTACCTGAGGATGAAAGGGAGGGGACCCACTGCTGCAAACAAACTGGAGGTTCTTGTCTCCCTCTGCCCTGGCCAACCTAGGCTTGCTGACTGCATGCTACTCCAAAGTGCCAAGTTCAGAGGAGTGGCCGCGTGGCAATACTCCGTGGGCCACTGAAGGCACCCTCCCTGAGGACCTTCTCTGAGACCTTGTCTCCAAGCAAGGAGAGCACACCCTAGAGTCCTTCCCAAGAGGAAAGGTAGTTTGCAATAGACGTGCATCCCCCTGCCCCTGCCTTCTCTGATCCCCTGGTGTGTGTGCATTGGAAGATGAGCTGATCCGGGAGGTCACCATCAACTGTGCGGAGAGGGGGCTGTTGCTGCTGCGAGTCCGGGACGAGATCCGCATGACTATCGCTGCCTACCAGACCTTGTACGAGAGCAGTGTGGCGTTTGGCATGAGGAAGGCACTGCAGGCCGAACAGGGGAAGTCAGACATGGAGAGGAAAGTGAGTGGGGTTTACCATGACCTTTGGTCCTCTGTGACTCATCTGTCAACCTCAGAGCCACGTGGTTGTCATTCGTGGCCCCTTAAGGCGCTCCCCTGACATTCACCACCCCTGGACCTGCATAACCTCAGCAAAGACCATTGGTTGAGGGTAACGGCCAGCCTGGTGGTCCTGGCAGGGTCTTCTCCTCTGTGGATGTTCCATGCCTGTCACTGACCTCCCACCGGGTGGCAGTACACACCCTGGCAATGTCTTGGGATGGACAGCTGTGTCCCATATCCCGTCCTCCCAGGCTTTCACACCACCCCATCCATCCACTTGCTGACATCCCAGGATGACTGGGCTTTCTGTCCTCAGATTGCAGAACTGGAGAGCGAAAAGAGAGACTTGGAGAGGCAAGTGAACGAGCAGAAGGCAAAATGTGAGGCCACAGAGAAGCGGGAGAACGAGAGGCGGCAGGTGGAGGAGAAGAAGCACAACGAGGAGATTCAGTTCCTAAAGCGGACGAATCAGCAGCTGAAGGTAACAGCGCAGGCCAGGCATTGCGTCCTTTGCCACCAATGGCTTTTAGACTTCTGTCCACACGCACTGCCAAGGAGTAAAGGGAGCTGACTTGGGGGTGGAGGAGCTTCTATTCCACCTGGCTCTGGAGGGGGCTCGGTTCTCAACTTGGAATCCCCATGAGACTGCAGCCTGGCTCTCCAGTGGAGGATTCCTCCTCCCCCACCGGAAAAAAGTTGCCCATCCTCAAGGGAGAGGTGGATATGGCAAAGAGTAGAACTTCTTTCCTGTCAAAGTTGATATTTTAGAGCCTTCCTCTAGTGGGCAGGATTCTTCAGCAGGCTGGCATGGAAGTGCTTGCCCACTGCCAGGCCCCTGAGGCGCTGTGTTTGGGACATAACCAGGGAAGAAATCACAACTGGTGGGCAGGCAGGGAAGGCCTTTTGAAAGGAAGAACCATTTCAAGTCAGAAACCTTCCCCAGGTGTGTGACCAAAGGAACCCAGCTGTAGGTGTTTTTCCTCAAAGCCCAGTGCTAGAAGCATGCCTTTCTGCAACTGAGGTGATGTGAGGGAGGGAATAGGCCTGAGGCCATGCTACCGGCCCCTGCAACTCCAGGCTCTGTCTGGTCCAAAGGTTCTCAAAGGTTGGGCCCCAGAACAGTAGCATCCTCATCATCTGGCAACTTTTAGAAATACAAATTATTAGGCCCACCCAGATCTACTGAATCAGGAACTTTGGGGCTGGGGTCAGCAGTCTGTTCTGACAAGCTCTCAGATGATTCTGATGCTTGCTGAAGTCTGAGAATCACTGTTCTGGGTAGATGGCCTGCTGGCATTCTCCCATGGCCCCGGCCCAAAAGGCCCCTGGATGTTATCTCCCTCTCCTCCCTGGTCTCATAGAGAAAGCTTACATTCCTGAGATTGGCAGGCTTGTTAGGTCTACAAACCTAAGGGCCAGCTATTTGTGATAAAGGCAGCTTTCTATGAACCAAGAGTGGAAGGTGACAGATTTCTTGTTGCTGAAAAGTTGAAAAGCTAGAAATTTTCACAGCCAAAGGTGAATCTGTTTGCTTAGCAGCCTCCGAAGCTGTTTCCCTTATCTGCTATGTTCCTTTATCATAATCCTGAGTCTCTCAGTTTCTCCTATATAGTATTAGCAACAAGAGGAAACCAAATATCTTAGCATCTTTCTAACATTTAAAAGCAAGCTTGTAATCCCCAGGGTGAAAAATTCTTTAGAAGTGAGTTATTTTTATTGGCACAAAGCTGCACTGCAAATAAAACAGCTTTGCCTTCCCAAGAACAGAACTACTTAAAATCTGCCCACATAGCATGACAGCAAATTATTTTACTGGCTGCCAGAGGAACACGGTAAATAACTCCCAAGTGTCTTAAGCTTTACAAAAAAGAGGGACAGCTCTTTACTGACTGGTAGCAATTTTCTCTAATTGGGTGTCAAGTTGTCTTGGTGGCTGAAAATCTGCTGTTTCCCAAACCTCTGGTCTCAGCAGAGCTCCTAGGATCCTAAACCAGAGAGACAAATGTTTAACTCAGCCGACATATTCAAGTCTGGAATCTGAGCCATAAAAACCACTATTTCAACAACTTATTCAATTTTTTTTCAGTGTTTCATATTATACACTGAACCATTATTGTATGGAAATCAGGACAGCTCTGGTTACTTCTAATGTAGCAAGACTGTACGGCAGGCTAGAAACCAGCTAATCTAGAAAATATGGAGTTGGGAATGAAGGAAAAAGCAATCGCTTGGAGTGGCAACATTCGGATTATTCTTCCCAGAGATTTTTATCACCTCTTAGCTATTTGTGTTAGGCTGCAAGTTTCAAATATTAATGGAGCTTGTTTTTGTTTTTCAGGCCCAACTGGAAGGCATTATTGCACCGAAGAAGTGATAATTTCCATATGGGTCTCGGCAAACACTACTATCCGATCATAAGCCCTTTGTAATAAAAAGCTAGTTTCCTGAGTGAGCAAGCCATATCCTCCCCTAATCACCACCTGTGTTTTTCAGAAGTCACGCCATTGCCCCAGTGTCATCAAACACTTAAGGTCTGCCAGCCAGGTTCCTGGCTGGGCAGTGGAACGTGGTGTAGCCCTGACAGTCTCAGTATATGCCTATTAGCCAACCTAGGGATTTGCCAACTCAAACAGTAAGACTGTGGCTTTCTCATCACCACACCATCACTTATGTCTAGCCAAATGAAGCTGCCTCTCTGCCCCTCAAACTTCTGGTTCACAATTCATCTTGTACCTCAATTTGGGCTTCTCTGGTCTCAGTTCTTCCTTATTTGATGGTTTTTCATCCCTATTACAATACATTTCTAGTTACTCATTTTGGAACTTTGGCTTTATACTGTTATTATTCCCACCTGCTAAGTCAACTGGACCCCTTCCTACTTTCAAACTGCCTCAGTTAGGAAACAATGGCAGTCAAAGCCATGGCTTTGGAGAAAGTAAATGATTGCTGGAAAGGAATACAAGTCACAGTGTCCTTTTGAGCTGTTAGCAACTCAGCTTCTCCACCACCAGATTTGATTTGTTCACCTTACTCTGCAGAAAATCTAACCCTGACTCTACGTCTCCCCCAGTTAGCTACGTTTAATTAACTGGAGAGGTAACCAAATCTCACATGTAGTTCTAATTACTAATGATCAGACTATGGCATGTAGACAACTGTATTTTACTATTTCTCTTAAACTCTTCTGGTTGTGTAGACCGAGAAGATTGAATTAGTGGCATAAACCTGGCAAGGGTGGCATGATAAGGGACTTCCATCATTCAGTGAAATTGCACAAGTAACATTACCTAAAGAAGGTACTAACATGCTCAATATTCTCCTAAAGAGGTAGAAAAAGGGACTGACTTCTTAGCAGAGCGTGGATCTGCCACCCACCCTGGTTAGGACTTCAAGGCTCACTGGAAGAACGATAGTCCCACAGGACGCGCTGTGTTTCCCTGAGACAAACATGCCCTTGTAGGCTCTAGTCTCGAGTTTGAAGTCACAGCTTTCACACTGATGCGTTGTCCTGAGGAATTACAAGGCTCCACTAAAACGAGCTGCCCATGCTGTCACTTCCATGGGAAAGAACTGTCCACTGAGATCTAGTTCCAGGGCTCTACAGTAGTAACGCACAGCATATGTCCTAAGTGGGTCCATTTCAGACTCAATGAGGGACAGAAGTTGCTGCTGCCATTCCCTCAAATTTTAAAGCCCAGGCCATGTGCACAACCATCCTTGAGATTTTTCTTCTTTTGACAGTTTTGTACCTTCTGTTCCAATTTGCTAATTACCAGCACAAGAGAAATCCACTTTCCATTTTATAGACCTCATTCCCTATTTCTGTCAGACGTTTTCATGACAAAGTTACTCTCTGCCAGTACTAAGAGGGCTAATCCAAGCACCTCAAGTGCCAATGGACTTGATCACTGAAATCTTTAGGGGTGAGGGGGCTTTACTCTTCACCAGCACTGGTGAATGGCTTCAACTGTCAAACCTCAGAACAAACGCAATATGGCCTTAGAAATGCCAGCTCGTGGGAAGAAAATGAACACAATTTCTAATTGCATATTTTTGTATAATTTAATAAACAACTTTGTAAATGTTACTGCTTATGTCTGAATTTCTTGTGTTTGTTTTTCTGTCCCTCTGAGTCATTGGTCTTCTTTTTGTTCCTGTTCCTATTTTTCACATTGTGTGTCTCGTAGTAGCGCACACCGACTTTTTTGGATTGCTGCTGCCGCACTGCTCGCCTCCGCTGTAAAAAATGGCACAATAATGGGAGAGCAGAAAGAGACTTTGAAATCAAACACTGAAAGTCCTAAGACAGGAGCCTCCTCTCCACACGCCACTGCCCGTGCTGCCTCCACAGCCACTGGAAGCAGTGCTAATGAGGGAGGACTCACCTCACAGACCTGTTTACTCTCTTCCACTGTGACCTGTGAGGACTCCAAGTTACAGACTCCCATTTGGGCCCACCCTCATCCAGTGCTCGAATCTTTTCTGCACAAGTGGTCCCCTGCAGTAAGGCTGAACAATGCCAATGACAAACTATGCCCCTGCCCAGTAGGCCTGCCCTAGCTCTGAACAGCTCTGCCCCCAAGCACTCCTTCCAGAGACCGAGATTTGTCTTCCTAACCTGCTCTGCTTGTTGTGTGTCACTTCCCTGGGGCCACAAAAAAACATACAACTCTTCTAGATAGCCCATAGGCTTGAGGACAGTGACCAGGAATTCCTAACACCAAGACATGGAGTCAAGGACCTTCACTCCGCAGGCAACCTCTTAGCCCATTTCTCTCCTCAACCAGGTCACTGATGACTGGGGTTCCTGGCATTAAGCTCTAGACCATTTGTTTCAGAAACAGTGGGTCTTGAGAAATGTATCTCTCTACTTCCTCTATCTGGGTCATATTTAAGACCCAAAATACTCACTTCCTTAGATGTAAGCGTCCTGCGGGTTTTATCTGAACGTTCTTCTTCCCTCTGAGCCTTCCGCTTCCTTCCCTTTTTGGTAGGTGCTAGATACAAACAATACACAAACACATACAAAAAAATAGGAATTTAAAAAAAAGAAGGGAAGGAAAGAAAAAAGCCCAGGAATTTTCTATTAAAAATTTGTCTGTGAACCCAACATGGTGGGAACGAGCTAGATATGTCAGGGGGAGGAGGAGAAGGAAGGCCAGTGTGGATGGAGCTGGTGACCAGGATGCTGGTCAGAGTAAAGCAGGCTTAGACAGGAAGCCCCTAAACACACTCTCAATATGGATGCTGACAGCAAAAGGGAGTAAGAATAAACGTGTGATCCATGCCCCCTCATTTGGCTGCAGATCCACCCTTGGATTTTAAGGTTAATAATATTCCCTTTTAAAGAAGTTTCCTGAACTGCCATTTTAATCCTAAGAAATGTGCAGAATAAAAAAGGGATGATCCAATTTGTATGATAAATACCATGTTTCCCTGAAAATAAGCCCTACCCATAAAATAAGCCCTAGCAAGATTTCTAAGCATTTGCACAATATAAGCCCTACCCCAAAAATAAGACCTAGTGATGGGCGTGGCTACACAGCGTATCTGCACAACCCATGCATTTCCTTGTGGAGCGGTAAAGAAGACGAGCAGCCCTTCTCATCTGCCCCATCGTGACAGCTACTATCCCAGAGGTGACTGGAAAGGTGCGGGCAGCCCCACCAACAAGGTCAGCTCCCCGTCAGGTCCCAGCCATCCTGTGCGTGCTGCAAGCTGAGACTTTGAGGGGAAAATAACACATCCCCTGAAAATAAGCCCTAGGGTGTCTTCTTGAGGAAAAATAAATTTTAGACCTTGTCTTATTTTCAGGGAAACACGGTAGTATGTGGAAGCAAGGCAATCTGTAATCTGCCAGATATGATAAAGACCTGTGTGGACTGTTGTATGAGAGATAATCTGGAGATTAAACTTAGGTTTCCCAAAGTTCTAAAGACGCAAATCACATCTAAATGACTTCAATAATTTATCTTCACCTGTATCATCTACATCTTCTTCAGATGTTTTTCTTTGTTCTTCAGGTTTTGCAAATACCTTTTCACTTAGCCCCTTGCATATTCTGAAACAGAAGAACAAAGCAATGAAGCTGTCGACACCATACATCACATGACCTGGAACCCTGCAACAAACTCACAGAAGACCCCACCCCTTATTTATATAGTTATCACCAGTGTAAGAAGTGAACATCTAACAGTTTTTACAGCTCCCTGGGCATTTCTAAAAGACTGGACAACTAAGCTTCTCAAACTTCAGGCAACTGAATTTTATAAAATTTACAAATCACTTTTTTAAATGGCAATAACAGCCAGGCATGGTGGTATGCACCTATAGTCCCAGCCACTTAAGAGACTGAGGCAGGAGGATCGCTTGAGCCCAGGAGTTTTAGGCCAGCTGGGGCAATATAGAAAGCCCCCATCTCAGAGAAACCAAAGAAAAACAAAACAGAACCCACAAAAAAATGGCAACAATCCCCCTACCCCCATACATATACTGCTCTATACCCACAGCAAGTTTCTGGAAAAAGAATGAACAAAGTACAATTTGTATAAGATGAAAATATTACCTGACTGCTGAAAACTTTTTAGCTTTGGCTTTGTCTAAAAACTTCTGATATTTAGCAATCTTTTCATCGAGGGCTTTAATAATTGCTTTGGTGTCATTTTCCACATGATCTTCCTGGGACTCCTGGTAAGATTCTTCCTCACTGTCTTCTTGTTGCTCTTGTTCCTCCTCTTCTTCCTCCTCTTCAGCAGAGAAGTTCTCAAGCTCTTCCTCGAGATCTGACATCTCCACAGGAACCAGGTCATCCCCAGAAAACTGAGGCACGACGTTGATTTTGCCAAAGTTCTGCCGAACCCGTGCAAGAATCTGTTGCATCTCAGAGTTAGCATCGCAGTGACTGTTTTCTTGTTTTTCTTTCTCAGTGACAGATTCTGCCCCTTCACCTACAGTGCCTGTGACTTCCTCTTCTGGATTGTTCTGGGTAGTTTCTGTGGTAGTTTCTGTAGCAACTTCCAAAGACGAGGATGGTGGGAGCTATTGAGGCCAAAAGGGGTGGAGGTAGGGAAGAGAAATGGAAGAAAATGAAAACTGAAATTTTCAACTTATATCTTACTCTCAAATGAGATAGTTCTCTTTTTTTATTTTTAAATTTTTTTACAAATATTTTTAATTTACGTGAACAAAGTAGCTGAAAGAGGTAGTTCTCTTTTTAGGACTAAGGGAAAGTATTGAAAACACCCAAATTTGAATTATATCATTAATCTATTTCAAGCCAACATACATTAAATCCAGAAACCAGTATTAAAGAATCAAAGGAATATATCTACAATTCCAAAGGATAAGCCAACTAAAAGAGTATTTAACCATTAAAACCAATCAATAATTTACCAAAGCCAAGTAAGATTCCCTAATCTTCCTTGAATATCATTAGGAACAGGAGGCTGTTGAGATAAGCACATACAAAAGTAGCACTCACAACATCAAAATCAAAGTCAGGCTGAATGGTAAGTATGAGAACAGTACTAGCTTAGAAAGTGTCAAGTACTAAGGAGAGGCACTGAGGAGGTCTCGGGCTTTGAATGTATCCTCCAAAACTCATGTGTTGGAAACAATCCCCAATGTAACAGTGTTGGGAGGTAGGGCCTAATAAGAAGTGATTAGGTCATGAGGACTCTGCCCTCATGAAGGGATTAATGCTATCTCAAAAGTGGGTTAGTTGCTGCAAGAGTGGCCAGGTAAAGTGCTAAATAAATGAGGACTCTACAAAATTCCAGAAACCATATAAAATATTTGTATGTACATTTGTACATTTTTCTAG